ATGCTTTGTACACTGAATTTTATCTCTTAGCAATCTGTTTGTCCTCCAATTCATTTGGATTAACTTTAATCTCCTATGGACTTTATTTTTCTAAATATATTCTTTAGGATGTGTTTATTTTATTGAACAGCAGTTTATGTTATTCTCTTACCAATTGTAGAATTGAAGGCTGAAGATTAACACAGTAGTTTTTTCCACATAGCTGATGCTGTGAAAGCAGATATTGTTCTGTGGATGGTTTCACTCATCCGAGTGGGATTCTTAATCTTTTGTTTGATACTAAATGAACAAAATGGAGCCACAGCACATCAGAAGAAGGGAAGCAATAGCCTATTTTTTTAACCAGTTTCTCTCCAGAACTTTTCCATTTTTTTTCTTCCCTCACTGTCAAGCAGTCATCCTGGACCATTCCAACACTTTCATCCCTTCCTTCCTGCATTATTGCTATGATCAGTTTGGCCATACCTACATCTACCTGTGCTGCATTTTCCTAAATACCTGGATGAAAATGGATACTACTGTCCGTCGTACATTAGCCCAAATTACCATATTGTTTGGGAAATCTGAAACACATCTGATGTATGAAAGATTATTACTGTAATACTGGATGTATTACTCTTTTTCAGTGCCCTTGGCAAAACAAGTATAACAAATCTGAACTACTTTGAAACCTATATAAGCCATGGTCTTTGCAATACAAAATCAAATTTTTAATAATTTCTGTTCACATGAAGTTAACAACTTGAAAGAAAAGCATAAATGCCTGCCTTTTGTTTGCTAGATGGAGATTATTATTTTATGTATTAGATTTTTATCCCATCATTATAAGTAATTCAAGGTGGCAAATATATATAATAGTCCTTCCTCCTCTTCTTTTTCCAACAACCACCCAGTGAGGTGGATTGGGCAAGAGAGAGTGACTGGGAGTGACTCAAACTCACTAAGCTGGCTTTCATGCCTAGAGTAGGACTAGAATTCATAATTTCCTGGTTTCTAGGCCAGCAACTTAATTAACTTTAGTCTATTGTTCACCTAGAGACATACTATCTGCTACTGGTAATAACAATTCTTGCAATCTCATGTATTCTTATCTAGAAAAAGATCCAAATAACATGTTTCATTTTTAAATAAAAAGGCTCCATTAATTTTCAAATTTCTAAAAAATGACATCAGGTGGCACTGTTTCACAAGAAAATAAATATTTTCTTGCCTAACAGGCTCCAATCTATATAGCCTGTTCACAAACCCTTAGAAAAGTAGCAACTGTAGGTTCTTACATCTTAAAACATTATTGCTCAGCAGAGACTTTGTTTACTAACACAGCTGTCAATATGCCTACCTTTCCTGAACATTTCCCCCAACTATACATTTAGGCTAAAAACCATTTGGGGCACAAATCATTCATTTCCTTATCTGAGTCAGTGGACAAATTATACTGTATTGGTTTACTAGCATCAAATAAATTAGCAAACCTGCCATTCCTTGCATGTCCATGCCTGATTCAAGTAGATTTGCCAATGACTACAAATCTGTCCCAAGCTGAACTAAATGCTCTGTATGACAACTTCTTAACTTAGCTGGTTTGTTCTTTTCAAAATTCTAAAAAGAATGAGCGAGTCTATAAAACTGCTAAGGCCATGGAAAACTAAATTTTAGAAAAAAGATAAAAAACAGTCATAATCAGTGGTGGTGAAGAACAAAAATCTACCGAAAGTAGGACCAGTCAAAATGGCACAAAAGTGTGCATATGTGTGTATTGTTCTTCCTCTTTGTATTCCCCTAAAAGTGATAGTTTTTCCAGTTGCAATGTATGGCTGTGAAAGTTGGACCATAAGGAAGGCTGAGCACCAAAGAATTGAGGCCTTTGAACTATGGTGCTGAAGAAGACTCCTGTGAGACCCTTGGACCGCAAGGCAATCAAACCAGTCAGTCCTAGAGGAGATCAACCCTGACTGCTCTTTAGAAGGCCAGATCCTGAAGATGAAACTCAAATACTTTGGCCACCTAATGAGAAGGACTCACTAGAGAAGAGCCTAATTCTGGGAACAACTGAGGGCAAAAGAAGGGAATGGCAGAGAATGAGGTGGCTGAATGGAGTCAGAGTGAGCTTAAATAGACTCCAGAGGATGGTACAGGACAGGAAGGCCTGGAGCAATGTTGTCCATGGAGTTGCGATGGGTCGGACACGATTTCACAACAAACAACAACCAAAGGTGAGGAATGGGGGAAAAAAAGCAAGAATATCCCAACATACATCCAGATATTTCTGATATGAAATCTATGATTCAACATCAAGCCTAAAACTTGATATTATTGACTAAATTCATTGTATTATTGGAGTTCAGTTATGCCAGTGATGGGTTGCCCCTGGTTCGGACCGGTTCTATAGAACTGGTAGTAAAACTGGTGGGAGTTTCTGCCCACCGACCCCAACATCATCAGGAAGTTTCTATGCATGCGCAGAAGCGCATGGCCCGGTTGTGAACCGGTAGTAAAGGTAAGTAAAACCCACCCCTGAGTTATGCCTAATATTCAGGAACAAAAGAAATGGTTGCTTCTCCCATGTTGGAAAACACAAAAATTAGTACATTTCAATCTGTCTCCAGTCCTAGGAAATGCCCTGGCTTGGAAGAAAGCAGAAATAAAGAAGCATTTATCTTTTCTAATACAACAATGGAGACCTTCACTGGAATTTGGACAACTTTCCCTGATTTATCATGCTTCATGATTTCTTTTTTACTAGAGTCCTTTTTCTAAACTTATTTCACATTTAGGAAGTTCCATCTGCATAGAGGATGTACAGGTAGAAGGGCAGCATTTTTTATTTGTGAAGTTTCTTTCTAAAAGGGCAATGCTTCCTTCTAACAACGAATGCTATATTTTACATATCATTAAGTTTTGTTGGCTTTTAATATCCCCCCTATTGGAATATTAAGCACTTTTAAATTGAGAGTCTAAAATGCTAAAACATTCTTTGTACCCCAATGGAATGTTGGAAAGAAATTACAATATATAAAGTTGCTCAGGACTCTTTAGTTTACTTGTGTGTCAAGAGGATAACTGAAAACTGAGTAGAAGAGGACCAAATTTTCTTTTTGGGGGAGAAAATCTGTTTGAAAATGGGGTGGTTAAAAAAAATTGTTTGAAAATGGGTTAGTGCTGATGTAATTGCAGCAGGTTTAGGATAACAAGTTTGTAACTGCTATAAAGAAGGGCAGAAGTCACTTCTTTGACAATGTTTTTTATTTTTTTTCTTTAAGTGTTTTCTGCAGTTGTTTTTTCCGTTTTCTCTGTTATATTTCTGTATTTGTTTTCTAGTTCAATAAAAAAAAACTCTTAAAATACACACAGATACACTTTAAAAATGGAGATCTGGCTGGAGATTGCAGAGAGAAGAAATTGCCTAATGCATTCTTAGTGTATAGGAGAGGTAGCAGAGCAAATGCTGGAAAAATTAGAATGCTCCATTTCAAGCCCCTCCACCTTCTTTCAAGATCATGTGACCCACAGACCTAAAATTAAGGTATTTATTTATGTATTAAATTTTTATGCCATGTTTATTTTTTATAAATAACTCAAGGCAACAAACATACCTAATAATCCTTTTTGTTCTTGTTTTCTCCACAAGCAAACCCTCTGAGGTGAATTGGATCAAGAGAGTGATTGGTTCAAGGACATCCAGCTGGTTTTTATGCCTAAAGCAGGACTAGAACTCACCATTTCCTGGTTTCTAGTGTTAAAAGAAATTTCAGAATCCATTACTTTTCTTCTTTCCCTTTTTTGTTAAAAGTAATTAACTACAGATTAAATTATTTGACTTGAAGCAGATGTTTGTATAAAGCTTGATGAAAACAGCCAATTTTTCTTGTCAAGATATACATTCTTGGATGGTGAAAAACACTGACATGAAAGATTACTCAAGAACATTGCAACACAGAATTTTCCAAAGACAGACGTTGCTGATAAGATTGCATTTATTTGGGCCAGATTACTTAACCTAAAATGTAATAGTCATCAACATCTGATTAGATGGCATATAAACTAATACACCCTAATTGTACATTTAACATAATGTTTAGCATTTGCAACTTTGCCACAAGCTAAATAAAAGCATTTCACTGCCTTAGCCCTCTCTTCACCATTCTGGTGTCCTCCAGTTACATTAAACTACATTACCCCATCCAGCTCAGATGAAAGAGTTGTAATCCAACCACCTGTTGTGGCTGATAAGAATTGTCACCTTGAGCTATCCATATTTTAGCCCAACACTTTGTACAAAATAGGCTGAAGCTGAATGACATGTGGACCCAATAAAACTCTGGCCAGAGTTAAGTCAATGCCATAGGCTGTGTTCACATAGTCATACTGAAGTAACTAATCATGTTTACCCTTAGAGGCTGAATGAATTTGATCAGCCTTAACTTGTGTTTCAACCATAAGTATCCAAACACCAAGCTCACTTTTCCTGGTCTTGTTAGAAAAGCGGGGTTGAATGGGAAGCCTTTGGGGAATTCCAGAACCGTGAACTATCTTGGAAAGGCTGGGTGCACCTTTGACGTCAGACCTCAAGCTGACTCAAGAGCATCTTATTTGACAACTCTGAATATATATGCAAGTCCTGGGAGCAAAACTCCGTGGGTGAGAAAGAGAAGAATGATATAATGCCCAAGTGGCTTAGCCACGTCGATTAAAGGAAAACTACAAATTGTGAGTCACCAGAATATATATATCCTAATACTAATTCATTCGTTTCACTCAGGATACATTTGGATAGGAGTTCAGGGAGGCGATTGCCTCTGGGCCTGTGCGCTGAAAGAGCTTCCTTTTCCGCCAGACTATTCCCCAAAAGAGGGGGGCCCGACAGCACCTAAGACGTCCACCCTCTCCCTTGGCAGGTAGTAGTTTGCCCGCCCCCTCGAGCTGAGGAACACCCGGACCCGGATTCGGGAGCTTGGCGCAACCAGACCGCTTCTGCGGTTCACAGCCAATGGGCAGCGGCGACACTCGTCCTTTTCTTGAGTGGGTTTCTCCGCCCCCTCAGTGACGAAGGCAGCGGAGTAGAAAAACGCACGGCGGACGCCTGTTTTTCTCCATCGTGGTGAAAAGCGCAAAGCTGGAGACGAAGCGCAGTGGAGAGAGGTAGCTAGTGGTTCACAAGGTAAGGAATGGGGGAGGCGAGAGAGGCTGAGGTGGCTGAACTCCCCTCTCCTTATCCCGCCAAGGCATTGCGGAGCAGGGGCGAAGCGGACAGGAAGCGAGGGGAGCTGGGCCGCTTCCTCCCCTTGTGCTTAAGGGGGCTGAGACCTGTAGCATCCAACCCCGGGGAGCTTGCGCCTTTACCCGGTCTATTTCGGCTCCACGGGGGGATTCCTCTGTTAATTTCAACGGAATGTACTCTCAAGGAACGGCGTAGGGCAGGATGATACCCTCAGCAGCCCTGAGTTTTCAGGTTGAGTTGGTTCTCTGATGTTCTCTTGCCCGTTTCCGATTTGTACACATGATTGGTGGAGGGTTGTGCAATCTTGACTCCCTCCATCAAGGATCCAGAATAGAAGGAACGGGACTTCATGGGAGTCGTGGATGAAAAGAGAACAAGATGAAAGAAAAGTACCCTGTGGCTTCTTCCTTGATTTCAGAATTGTAGGGTGCATAGTGTACATTCAGTCACCTTCCTAGGAAGTGGGGGTGGGGTGGGGGTGCTCTCTGGCTCTTCTGGATAGCCAGTCTGATCATCATTTTTAGACAGCCCATCTCTCTCTGCCATCTGGGGATGATGGAACTGGCCCATCGTATCTTCATGGCATTAAATTGAAGAAAGCTAAAATTGCACCTACCAGCAAGATCTAGTGTAGGTGTAGTGCATGGTAGTGCATGTACTGTAGTGAAGATGTAGTGCATGGGTGAGAAATCACTTGGCAATTTTGGTTTTTTCTAGCCAGATTGGGAAGATTAAGAAAATTGGTAAAGCACTTCTGTAATTAAAAGCTAACTGAATGACTTGGGCTAGTCACTCTCAGGTTATCCTACCACATAGGATTGTTGGGGAGAAAATAGGAGTCAGGAGCATTATTTACACTGTCTTGTGCTTCTTATGATATTTAAAAGGCTTATAAATTTATTATGGCATAAATGTTGTTGAAATAGAATCTGTTTCTGCAAATTTCCAAACTGTTTTCCTCTGTTTTGTAGGTGGGAAAGATAAATGAATAGAGGTATCAAACGTTAGTATAAAACATAGTTTGTGAGAAAATGAAGTTCTGGCTCAGTTGCCCACTATGTATTCTGCATTTCACAGCTACTTGGTTTTCTATTTCATACAACAGTGGGACTGTTGAAGTGGATATGAGTGAAGAAAGTTTATACCATATTAAATCTGCTTTTTAAAGTACCATTTTATACTTTGTAGGGGTTACTCTCCTGAAAACCAATAGAGACAAGGGTAACTAGAAGGTATGTTTTACTATTGTACCTCAAAAATAATTCAGCTACGATGGACTGAAAAGAGAAGTGTGGTTGGAGAGTATAGGAAATCCTAGCTGAGACAGTCTGCCTGTAAATGGGATGACTGGAGGAATTTGGGTGAACTGGCACTGCTGAAAAGAATTGGACCTAGGTCAAAATGCTTTCTCATTTCTTGGATCCATTTCTAGTGGAGAAGTGATGAGATTTGCTTTTGCTGAAGAGAATATTTTCTTAAGCTGTTCCAATCTACTTTCCCTCCTTTTTTTTACTACTATTAAAGAAATGGCCCTCCTGAACACTATTGATTTTTAACACTTCAATTTTAGGAGTTTGAAAACCGACTAATGACCTCCGGTAGTCTAAACTTAAATTCAACATTCTCATTTCCTTCTGCATTCTGATCATATGATCAGTGCCTTCTAGTGCACTTTGTCACACTTTCTTCTCTGTTGTTTGTCAAACATAGATACTTCCTGAATCTAGTTCTTTTGTGGTGAACGCAGTAGCTTTCTTCTCCTCTTTTTAGTTGCACAATATTTTATCTTTTATCATCATCTTCATCCAGTGATCTCAGCCTGATGCCTTTCAAATGTATTGGAGAATACAGCTGTCACTTCCCTTAATCAAGTTAAGGGGTTGCAGAAATTTGAGATTACTAAATCTGGACGGGGTGCTACAGCTAAAGATTGGTTGGGTCACAGCAGATTAGCATTTGTATGCAAACAAAAGATGTTTCATCTTGCATAAATACTTTAAAAAATAGAATAGCAAGAATAGTTTTGAAAATTTTAGTATATTTTTAGGTTTAAAAATTATTTGCTTTGAATAAAAGTTAAAATTGAGCATTGCATATTTAAACTGCAACAAATGAGTTAAGAAACATTTGAACTATATTTAGTATAGTATAAATTATATACTTAGATTAATTCATTGATTAAAACATTTTAAACTGAATGCATCTTGTACAAGTATAGCTAAGACTGAATGGAACAGAGCATAAGACTGAATGTATTTAATTTATATTTCATCTAATATCAATTCTTATTTGCAGTGATAAAAATAGTGATAACAAGTGACTTACCTAGTGAAGCATGGATACTCTGAAAATATTGAAAAATATTGTATATATTCAATATATTAAATGACCTTTAATACATTAGACTTATAGTAGAGCATACTGCATTTCAAAAATGATGCATTAGTTCTGCATAAATTCTATCAGTGCTATGAATATTTTCATTTTTATTCCAGTGAGAATCCTACCATTGTTTGATAAATGGTTTGTTGAATAAGATGCAATTACTGTAGTTGTATCCAGGAAGGCCAAAATCTAATACTGCAAACTACATTTGACATGTGAACCACACATACCTATGTTGTTTTAAAGACAAAAGGTTCAAATAGGCCCAGTGTATTGATGGGCAAAGTTCCTCTTCTTTAGAGAGGTCTAGAAGAAAAGCGTTCAAAACATCCCCAGGTGCCATTTTCTGAATCTTAAGTTCATATTATCTCCAGCTACCAGCATTAGGGTTAGGGTAAGGTTACTAGGGCTGCCACAAAGAAGAGGGAATCAAATTATTCTCCAAAGCACTGGAGGGTAGGACAAGAAACAATGGTTGGAAATTAATCAAAGAGAGAAGCAATCTGGAATTAAGGAGAAACTTCCTAACAGTGCGGACAATTAACCAGTGGAACAGTTTGCCTTCAGAAATCATGGGCGTTTCATCACTGGAGGTTTTTAAGACGAGAATAGATAGTCACTTGTCAGAAATGGAATAGCTTCTCCTGCTTGAGCAGGGGACTGGACTAGAAGACCTCCAAGGTCCCTTCCAACTTCTCTTCTCTTCTCTTCTCTTCTCTTCTCTTCTCTTCTCTTCTCTGTAGGGCACAGGTAAAAGATATAGCTAAAAGTAACTTTGGATTTTGCATATAATGTATGCCATAAGAAGTTTATCACTTGGAATGCAATAGCTATAAATAATAATACAGGATAGAAGATAGAATAAATAATGGAAAAGACATGTTGAGATTCTGATTTGTTCACATTTGAACTAAGTTCTGGGACTTGGAAAACCAATTCAGAGGTTATTGTTAAAATGGCACAGTGAGTTATTGGAAGTAGAATTTTTCCCTGTTCTGGGTTTTAGTCCATGGAAGCCTCTTTTGTACTGTTACTGCAGGAACAGTTATAATTTATAGAAAGAAATGGTAACTTGGTGGATTAATAACAATTGTGTATTTGATTAAGGATAAAAACAGGTGGTTTTACTTAATATTATTCTTTAGGGACCCATAGAACAAGAATATTGTCAGAAATAAACATCCTGTAGCTTTTATTCCAAATAATTAATGCAAAAATAGTATTTTTGAAGGAGAGCATATTACTATTTCGAATCAAGGCCAGGCCATAGCTCTTTCTCTGACCACACTTCTTTCTTCCATCTCAGACAATGTTTTTAGAATCCATGAATAATGGAAACATTTGAACTTCCCTGAACTTTCTTTGTTTAGAAATATCAGGAGCTGCATGTATTTTACGCATCTGCACCCATCTGCACTCAGTTTTAGCAGAAGTTCCAGAGGTGAAGTTCCTTTCTTACTCTGATCCGTTGATGGCACCTGGCTTGTCTTAAGTAGTCTTAGGTGGTGCCAGACTCCTAATTTTCCATTTCACTAGTTTCATCCCTCAGTGCCTTAGAATATAATAATAAAACTAACTGCTCAGTCATAGAAAGGTGATACATTTTGATATTAACTAATTATCCCTTCCTCTCCTCCCAGGGTCTTAGTTATTTGTAACCATGGTAGGAGAAGACAATATATCTCTAAGAAATCGCCGAGCTACATACGGCACTGCAGAAGAGAAAGATGACTTACCAAGCAGGCTGGAAGAGGACTGGCAATTCTCTAAATCAACCAATGGTAAGATTTCATGATCAACTGCATGACATACAGCTTGTTCTTGTTTAATGGTGTATTTCTATGAGTTATTAAATCTTCTGGTATTTGTAAGAGGCATTTCTTTTCTGTTTTTAAGTTTTACATGTATGTCAGCAGCTGTTGGCTCAATTACCTGTTTTTAACTGGGATGATGACCATTATTTTGATTTGCCAATTGTTATTTATTTATTTACTTACTTATAGGTTTATATGCTATCCAACTCAAAACATGAGAGTGAGCAGCCTACCCTCCCCCCCCCAAAAAAGAATATTAAACCAGCAATGCAAAACAAATACAGACAATCCACTGCTTCATTCTGAGAGATTATTCGTAGGTCCGTTTTGGTCAAGCATAAAAAATATGTGCAGCACAATTTTTGCCTTAAATGAAAGGCAGTACAGTAAGCTTTGGGTGGGCCCAGAAGGAGGGATGGGGCATGGAGCAGGGAGCTGGCCTTCTCCCAACTTCCTTTCCCACCTTCTCCTGTCAACACCCAGGGTTCTACAGTTTATATGGGGTGAGAACTGTCCTGTACTTATTCATAAGAGCAACGGTGGCGCAGTGGTTAGAGTGCAGTTCGAATCTCACCAGGCTCAAGGTTGACTCAGCCTTACATCCTTCCGAGGTTGGTAAAATGAGGACCCAGATTGTTGGGGGCGATAGGCTGACTCTGTAAACCGCTTAGAGAGAGCTGCAAAGTACTGTGAAGTGGTATATAAGTCTATGTGCTATTGCTATAACTTCAGCTTAGAGGGTCTTTGACGTTGGAAGAGGATAGGAGGGGGTTGGTTTCTATGGCACCACCTATGTATGGGAGTGCAGTGGAAGTTGGTTCGTTCCTATCTTCTCCCGCTTTCCACATACAGACAGGTTTGTTCGTATTGGCAAAAGTTCACAACTTGAATGTTTGTCAGTAATGTCTGTATATCATTAAAACAAAATAAACAATAAAAGGCAAATGCAGTGCAATATATTATAATTCCTAAAAATGGGGATCCTACTCATTCCCAAAGGCTTAGGGGAAGAGTCAGGTCATAACTGCTTCCTAAAACCTGCAGGTTAGGTACAGCTATAAGTCATGGGGAAGATCATTCCAAAGGGCAAGAGCCACTACTGAGAAGGCACCTCTCCCTGTATCCTATAAGATGATGTTTCAAAGAAGGAATCTGGAATCTTCCTATCAGAGTGCATGGAACAAGGAAATATTTGTGAGACTAGATGGTTCTGGAAACATTCTAGTCCTTTGCCACGTAAGCAGTGGTGAAATCCTCTGTGGTTTGCTACTGGTTCACTGCCAGTGCATGCGTGGTGTGCACCAAACACATGCTGTGCACGCACGTATGCACAGGACATGCCAAACACGCACTTCACACAGAAAAAGGATGCTTTCTAAGGTAAGCAGAACAGTGAGAGGGGGAACAGCTATGCCGCGCTATTTAGATTCGCTAGAAAGCAGGATTTCCTGCTTTCTAGCGAATATAAATCGCGCAGCACAGCTATCATCGGAAATACCAGTCTGGACCAACTGGTAGGTTCGCTGAACCGGTAGCTTTTATCACTACTGGTTTGCTTGAACCAGTGCGAACCGGTAGGATTTCACCACTGCATGTAAGGCTTTATTGGTGATATTAATGATACTTGAATTGTATTTGGGAGTCTATTGGGACCAAATGCAGTTGTAATAGTAGCAATGGAGTTCTTAAAGTTGAGGTATCATGGGGATATAAGAATAAATGTCCTTAATCACCCATTCTGCTGGCATTCTGATCCAGTTACAGCTTCCAGATGGTCTTCAAGGGCAGCCCCATCTAGGCAGAAGGTGCTGAAGGCAGGAGTAACTATGAGGAGAGTTCCAAGATCCAGGAGTAGGCCCAGTTGGCACAGCAAACAAAGTTGTGCAAAGGCTTCCCTGGCCACAGTTAACACAGGCTCTTCAAACAAGAGCTGTGAGTCCAGGAGGAACTCCAAATTGCATACTGAATGTGCATGAGGCGATTCAACCCTGCTCAAAGTCCAGGCTAATCTCTCTCCAGACCCATGGAACCAAAATCCAAAGCAGGATTGAGCCAAAACCTCTTGGTCATCCAAACCCCTGCCACCTCCAAACATTGGACAGAACCTTGACAGGATCATTTAAATGGCCATGGGCAGAGATGTACAATTGATAAATCTGCACCTGTGTAGGTGAATGGCTTTCCCTGGCAGTTTCATGTAGATATTAAAGAGGAGAAGGACCCCAGTAATGCAAGGACCTAAGAGTAAACCTCTTCTCTCCCCCAACACTGATTGCAACCATCCATAGACAAAGGGCAAGAACCACCACAAAGTTCCCTCCACTCCCATCCCCCAAAATGATCAAGGAGGTCCAGGATGGATGCACTGGCTCATTCCCAAATCTTCCTCCCAGAGGTCATCCACATCCTTTAGGAAAGCTGTTAAGACTAGATCTTCCCCCAGGCCATATAAATAGGAGTCCACTTATGATTGTTTAGATAATGCTTGGCACCATATTGTATCTGTAATTTATTGTATTGCAGGTAGTCCTTGATTTATGACCACAATGGAGCCCAAAATTTCTGTTAAGTGAGACATTTGTTAAGTGAGTTTTCCCCCATTTTACAACCTTTCTTGCCACAGTTGACACTGTAAGGTTGTTAAGTGAATCTGGAATCTGGTTTGCTTGTCAGAAGATCACAAAATGTGATCACATGACCTTGGGACACAACAACTGTCATAAATATGAACCAGTTGCCAAGCATCTGAATTTTGACCACCTGACTATGGGGATGCTGCAAAGGTCGTAACTGAAAAACTGTCATAAGTCACTTTTTTTCAGTGCCATTGTAACTTTGAATGGTCACTCAATGAACTGTTGTAAATTGAGGACTAAGTGTATTTATTGCTGGTTTTTTTCCTTTTTAATGCGTACACCACAATGACTGAATTAGTCAGCCTTATACACCTTCTAAATAAATAAAACATCCAGTACTGTATCTGACTGAAAGAGATACCAAATAATCTGTTTCCTTGAAAACCTTTTGGAGTTGTAACTTCTCAAAATGGAAGGTTGGAGAGTGGATGAAAATTGTCCAGCTCCTTGAGATCCAGCAGTGGTTTCTTGAGAAGGAGGTAGACCACTATCTCTTTTACAGCCAGCCTACTCTTTCAAGCAAGCATTAACCACTGCATGAATCCATTCACACAACCTCTCCCAGTAATACAAGCCAGGTGATTTGCATGAGAAAAGAATATTTACACATTCTTAATTACTCCTATGTGATGTGATGAGCTGAGCCAAATTCAGTGGAGGCACTTCTTTGTAACTTTGGCAAAAGGGGACCTGTTCTTGGTTGTTGTGATTGTTTTTCAAAAAGCGCTTTTCTTTTTAATTGATGAAAAACAAACACACTCCAACTCAATTGTATTCAGTCTGGTTAGTTAAGGTTTAAGCTAATGTATTACTCAGAATCACATGCAAAGTCATGCTTGGCTATTTTCCAGAAATTTTTCCCTTGAACTTTTTTTACCCTCTAAACAACCTTGGACCGTAATCAAGTGAGTAATTTGCCTTGAGGGAAGTATATGAGAGGTCCTGGTTCTGTAGTCTGGGATTTGTAAGATATAAATCAGTCATTCTGTAATTGAGGCTACCTTTGGTCATTTTTCAGAATTGTATACATCAATGCCAGGTTGATTAATATCTCTGAGTAAGGGGAAAGGGAGTGCAAAGTTGTTTTTTTCTTCCCAGGTTTCTCTTTTTTTTTCTTCTCTCTTCTGATTCTGCCTTCATTCATTTGCCATTACTGTCACAGAACAATATTTCTATGCAATTTTATCCTCTATTTTAGACAGCAGGCTCCCAAAGTAGTTTACCCCAACCATATAATTAAATATGGATGTAATTATATAGCATTCAGTTAATTACAGCCCGCTAATTGGGTAAAAAGAAATGGGTAGAAGTACACCAAAAGACGATATGTGTTAACTGCTTAAATTTAGGTCATAAATGAGTTCTCCCATTCCCCTTTCCGAAAACCCCATTGAGTATTGGCCAGGGTACAATTTACAGGAAAGGTCTTTTTTTGACTGTATGAGTGCTACCACAGTGACAGTAACTTACCAAAGCACAAATGGCTTCAATAGGCAGTACAAAATAATATCTGCTTTGTTTGTCACATCAGCATAAAGCATATCTTGTCATTGCAAAGCAAGCTCAAGAAGGGTCATGAATTTCTATTGACCAGTAGCCCTGTAATTGTAGGCTTCAGTAGCTGCTGATCTGTGTAGTCTGTTTTGTAATACATTTTGTGATTCTGAATATGTTTTTGTTTGGAACATTGTAATTTTTTTAAAAAAGGAAACTATCCTTTCTTGATTCCCCCCACCCCCCACTTTCCCAAGGAAATAGAGGTTGTGATTTCTGTTCCTTTTCTATGGCAGCGAACCCAGTACTCATTATTTCCAGTAAGGTTAATGGTACTAAGCAGTAGTCTCCACTCAACTGGTGTATAGCGCTGAATGGGTCTACCTTACATACCTATCTTCTTTTTAGAGCAAACAAACCTGTAATTTCAAATGAATTTTCAATTTGTGCTTACTCTCTTACTTCAGTGTTAGCACAGATGATTCAATATTAATGTTAATTTAATTTCAATATTAAATGTTCAAAGTAATTTGTCCCAATCATTTGGTTACATTTATCTATGCTGATTTGGTGGGAACTACTAATATTAGGCTTCTTTGCAAAATCTGGTGTGTGGAAGGAAGCTCGGTAATCCAAACATAGCTTCATGGACATAGAATTTTGCCTAATTTTTTTTCCTGCCAGTTTCTCCAAGCACCTAAGCACGGATAATTTCCAGATGCTTCTACCTGGGATTATTTGAAGGGGAACAATGACTCTTTATCATATTTAATTGTTCAGACATAATTAAGTTTAAAGTTCTAGGAGAATTTCATACTATCAGCACAAGGCTGACTGTCATAAATCGTTTTCTTTCTTGCCAACAAGGACTCAGCAAGGATAATCTGCGATGGAGCAAGGTCCTTAACCCTTCACTGATGATTCGTCTCTAAATTTTCCTCAGTTGCACCCTTTTACTTTTTAATATAGCAAATACTGCTCTGGCATCCCTGACCCACAACTTTTCTCAGCTGCTACTTTTTGTTTTAGATCAAATTAGAAACAGTTGTTTTCTCTCACTCCTTTGTAACAGAAGAATTCACAGGCATGGATGTTTCTCAGTTACCAAAATGAGTTTAGGTAACAATAACATCCTTTTGATAGTAATCCAGCATATCTGGAGAGTATCAGAATGGTGTGGCCTAATGCATATTTCTTTCCTATGGTAATTCCAGTGAAAAATGTTTGTGCAAATTAGAGAAGTCTCTAGGTTGCATTAGAAGCTAGTTGTTCTCATCCAGACATTCATTTAGTCAAATGTCATGAGTGAGGTCATCTTTTTAACTACTGGTACCTTTAAAATTGGGTGATAGTTATGTGTGTATGAGAGGAAGTATAAGCAAAAACAAACTGGTATAGGAAAAAGTAATAATTAGACTGAACAAATTACCATATTTTTTGGAATATAAGACTCACCTTAGTTTTTGGGAAGGAAAATAAGAAAAAAGCTGATTGGTGGGTGGATCGGCCTCCCGAATACCCCCAATCAGCTGTTCCCAGAGGTGAATTTTAGCAACAGGTTCCTTGGTTGTGAGCTCTGTGCCTTGCTTTTTTTTCTGCCTCTGAAAGCCTCCAAAACAGCTTCAGAAAAAAAGCCTTTTTTTCTGAAGCTTCTTTCAGAGGCTTTTATTCTGACGGACTATTTGTACTCTGTTCAATCTCCTTTCTTTGGTATTGGTGTGTAGATTAACCTCTTCCGATCTGTTGGTTATTGTGTCATTCTCCAGATTTGTTAGCATAGTTTGATTAGAACCTTTACTGATTCTTCTTTTGTTGCTTGCCATATTATTTTAGATAAAAGCCTTTCAGAGGCTTTTTTTCTGAAGCTTCTTTTACAGGCTTCTTTCAGCTTCTGAAATCTCCATTTGGGAGGCTGGGCGGGGCTACATTCGGAATATAAGACCCCCCCCAGATTTTCACCCTCTTTTTGGGGGGAAAAAGGTGCGTCTTATACTCCGAAAGATACGGTATGTTTTTTTCTTTTTGGTGAGACTGCCACCTTCACTAGAGTAGTAAAGTATCACAATAAATATTCCAGGCTCCAGTATTAATTTCCAAAGTAGCTAGGTATCTGCAAGGCAATTCTCAATGAGCAAATTCTAACTGGGTTTGCCAGGATTTTTTGACAGCTAATCATGATTTATAAGTGAGAAATAGATAATACTTTTTTTGCTTTTTTTTTTTTTTTTGCTTTAATTTATATGCCGCCCTTCTTAGATACTTGGAAGTATCTAAGAATTTTGATGGAATAAAAGAGGAATGTCCTTAATTTGAGAACACATGGGAATGGAATCATCTTTGAATAAAGTACATAATGAAGTGTGCATTCCCTCCTTTCACATCTATAGCTAAAAGAATTTCATCATTGTTCAAATGGGTTTTGCTGATCACAATAAGCACTGGTTCCTATAGAATTAAAGCTTAAGCAGTAGTCACATTGTAAGTATGAGTGAGAAATACTTGTATATGTGCCATTAATAGAAAGGTAGAAGTGATTGCCTGATCACACTTGTAATACAGCATGGCCTAGATCAGGGGTCTGCAACCTTAAACATTCAAAGAGCCATATGGACCCATTTCCCACAGAAAAGAAAACTCCAGGAGCCACAGAACCCTTCCCATGCCTGATTATTTCTTGAGCGGCCACAAAACTAGCATATGTAGTTGAATTAAACGTTCTGTTTTCTTCTGAACTTTTCTTGGATTTATCCATTTATCCTACCGGGGGTTGAAAAGCTCAAAAAATTGCATGTCGGCGGGTGTCGCACATTGGCAGTTGTGACACATATTTTGAGTGACAGGGAGCCGCAGCAGAGGGGTGAAAGAGCCACATGCGGCTCCAGAGCCACAGGTTGCTGACCCCTGGCCTAGATTCCCCTGGCATACTCCTGCTTTGAATAAAGAGAATTGTGACTTGGAGTCACTGTGAATAATTTTAGCTTATATAGCTTTGTAGAAAGTTTTTGACAGAGGCTCATATTCATTTAATACAATTGCTTGAAAACAATAATTTGGCCTTCCATTTCAGTCCCTAACTTTTCTGTCACCACTGAATGGTAGGAATCAATCCTGTCACCTCCTGGGCTCTACAGCATGGAGGGGAAAGAGAGGATTCTCTCTGTGACTCTTTCTTCTTGTTTCAGTAGAAAAGATGCTCACTTATGGGTTGTTCTCCCAAGATTCCAGTTCACTAGAAAGGATTGGCTTCTGTGTGTTCATTTTCAGTAGAGAAGATGTGCTGTTCCTTATTTGTCTCAGTCAATGTTGGTGTTCTGCTTTCCTGCTCTTCCTATGACCCATCCTATTTCACAGATGCAGAACCAAGGCAGGGAGAAACTATTTCATTGCTGAGATTGAATTTGAATCCAGGCCCTTGTGTTCTTCTGTATAAAATATTTTTCTTCTTCAGCTCTTTGCTTCATGTTATCTGTACTAAATCTTGCAACCTCATAAAGTTTGCTTCAAGAGTACTCCTACCAAAAAGCATATTTCAGGCATTTTAAACAAAGGCCTTGTTACCAGAGGTCAATGCTCAAATAGACAGAGATTCATTAATCATATGGGAGGAAGGTCACATGTTTCTTGTAAGTGATGACTTCAGCAAAAGACTGTGTGTTCTAAAGTTTCCGGCTTAGTGATTCATTTATGGTGGACCTTGAACAATTAGGCAGGCCATGTCCCTGTCTCTTACGGTTTTTTCCTCCTAACACTGTCACTTTAACACAAAGTTACTTTGCAGTATTTCCTATCTACTGAAACTAAACAAGCTCTCATAAATCTGTGCAAACATGATAAGCACTGATACATTATCATAACACATCTTTTCCTACCTCTCTCTCCTTCCCTATGCAGCTATTTTTCTATAATGTATAAGAACTCCTTTGAGGCAGGGAACATTTTGACTTTGGAAGAGTTATTTTTCTGATAAGATAACAAAAGAATAAATTTGCCATGCTTATACAGGTGAGTGCATAATGTGGAGGGGGGCCATTAATTTCCTATATGGATTTTAACATAGTATACTTTTAGATATATTTTTTCCGCATGGATGTTATTTTTATGTTTTCAAGATATGTAGTGAAGTATGGTTACAGTTTGGAGACGACAAAGCATGGTTTGTTTTTCCTTAGGTCGAATTGATGTTGATCATGCAATAACAAGAAAGATGCGACTCTTAGCAGAAGCAGAGGTAAATAAATGTCATCAACAAGCTTTTTGGAGTTATATATTGCTCTGCCTACCTGTTTACAAACAAGTTAGCCTGTTGTCAGATTCCCCAGTCTCATGTTTTAAGATCTATTAACTGCAATTCTCAGAATTTCCATTGACCATGTTACATCGAAATTGTGAGGATCTGAGGGAATTATATTGCTACTAGAGACTGTTGTACAGGTAGACCTTAGCTTACAATCACAATTGAACCCAAAATTTACGTTGATAAGTAAGACATTTGTTAAGTATGTTTTGCCCCATTTTACAACTTTTCTTGCTATAGTTGCAGCTGTTAAGTTAGTAACCCCATCATTAAGAGAACTTGGCTCCCCTATTGTCTTTCCTTGTCAGAAGGCCGCAAAAGCTGATCACATGACTCTGGGATACTACAACCATCATAAATATGAAGCAGTTGCCAAATGTCTGAATTTTGATCACATGGCCATGGGGATGCTGCAATAGTCTTAAGTGTGAAAAACCATCATAAATCACTTTTTCCAATGCCATTGTAACTTTGAACAGTCAGTAAACAAATTGTTGTTAAATCAAGGACAACCTGTATTAGAAATGGCCACTTTTTAAATTGAAGTTTAATTTGGCAATTTGACTTTTAGATCTGTAAAAAAAGTGGCTCATGTTCTTATTGTTTTATGTGGAGAGTTAGACAGCAGCGGCTGATCAAACAAACAAAAAAAAAAACAACCCCTGCCTTTTGTGAACTTGCTGAACTTGAAAGTTGAAATTCCTGGTTTGTTTGTTTTTGGCAAGTCATAAGCCAAAGTTAAATATTAACCATTTCTCCTTTTGTTTTAGAATAAAGGGGCTGGCTGTTGTTTTTTTTCTTCTGTTACAAAGCAATACTGCATCAAAACAAAATTGGGGTTATAATTCTATAAATGCAGAAACATTCTAAATGAAAGATTTTGATTGCTTTAGATCTTCTTAAATTCGAAGAGTTAAAAGATTAAAAGTCACAATAGTATAGATACCTGACTCCTCAATAACAGACTTAATTTATAAATTTTTGTATGCATGTGTGAAATATGGAAGTATGGAAGAGAACTAATTATATACTAATGCTAATTATAATCTAGAAGATCTCTCAGCTAATAGTTTTCACTTATTTGAGAAAAGTTTTCTCAAGAGCTCCTTCTGAATGTTTTGTCTCACAGTTACAGTTATGTAGCATGGCTAGGAAAGATCCCTTATTGAGAATGTTTGAGCAAGCAGTTGTTTGGGTGAGATGTTGCTTTAAGTGATTGTGATTTTTTTATTCTATTCTTTCTCTCAAATTTTATCAGCAGTTGAAGCCAGCATTCATGAAGGGTGTGGAGAAGCATTTTACTGAAGTTGTCAATAGTTTGGTTGCAAATTCTGTGCTGCTGGAATCTTCCCCAGCTGCTTTTCCAGAGAAAGACAGTCTCAAACTCAAGTATGTTGGCTCTTCATTCAGTAGACTTGATTTCTTACTTGATTTCTTTACTTTCATCTTTTTTTAATAGTGCCTGTTCCTTTCTTTACAGGGGAACAAGAGCACCTCCAGAACATGGGAAAATTTTTATTCCCAGAAAGTCTGTCTTGGAGTGAGTATCTTTAATGAGTTTGTATATTACAGTAGAACTGATGCTAAAGTTACTATTGCTTCAGTCCACTTTTGAAATGCAATTAAAGCATTCCAGTTTCTCTGTATGAGGGGATAATAAAGTCACTTGTATCATTTTTATCATCTTTTTCATCATTTTTTTCATACCCTTCTTGGCTGAAGCTGGGCATTTGGTTATCTATGGTGTGTCTAGAATTCCAGTCAGAGATGAGAGCAGCTTATATCCACCGCTTTTCCCTTTTCTCTTTAAAGCTGGTCTGCTGTCTAGACCAGTATTTCTCAACCTTGGCAACTTTAAGAGGGGTGGATTTCAACTCCTAGAATCCCCTAGCAAATGTTACTGCGTGGGGGATTCTGGGAGTTGAAGTCCATCCCTCTTAAAGTTGTAAAGGTTGAGAAACATTGGTCTAGATGTATGTATCACTCTGAAGTGATTCCTAGTAGATGGCTAGATGCTCTGATAAGATTTACACCAACTAAATAAAGGATTCACAATTAGGGAGGAAATGTGTTAGCTAGACTCAAGAACGTATTTTCTATAGGTCAGATTCTTTTAGTCCACTATTGTCACCTCTTGATAGGTAGCAGTTGTTTAGAGTCTTAGACAGAAGCTGTTCCTCTACTGACTATCTGATCCTTTAAGATGAAAATTAAATATCATTGATTAATGCTGCTTCCTGTTATTTGTACAGGTAGACTTTGACATAAAGTTATTCGTTTAGTGACCATTCAAAGTTATGAAGGCAGTGAAAAACATGAGTTATGACCGTTTTTCACACTTATGACTGTAGCAGCATGGCTGTGGTCATGTGATCAAAATTTGGAAGCTTGGTGACTGACATGTATTTATGACAGTTCCAGTGCCCCAGGGATATGAAATCACTTTTAGCAACCTTCTGACAAGCAAAGTCAATGGGGAAGACAGATTCAATTTACTAACTTTATTACCTTAACAACTGCAGTGATTCACTTAACAGCTGTAGTAAGAAAGGTCATAAAATGAGTCAAAACTCACTTAACAACTGTCTTGCTTAGCACAGAAATATGGGGCTCAATTGTGGTCATAAATTGAGGATTACCTGTAGCTCAAGCTTTATATACAAGCTACAAAAATAGTTAATATGATATAATATAATATATATTATATAATAATATAATATAGTTAACATGAGATAGTCTTTTCTCCATTTTCTCACCTCTTTTCTTTCCAAATTAAACTGTGAATAAACTATGCTTTGATTATTTCTTACCTTAGCTCAGAGGCCAGATAAAACTATTTCAGGGTGTGAGGCTGAGAGATGTGCTCTAAGGTGCCAAATCTTGTATTCAATTAGAAGTAGTGCTGAAACATGCCATTTGGCTTTCATTTTAGAGAAAAAACAAAGGGCATTTGCTCAGCATGTTAATAGGAAAATGTTTCTATTCCTTCTGGTCTTGAGAGATAAACATTTCAGGGATATGTCCCTGCGGCGTTCTCAAGGTCTAGAAGAAATATAAAAGTTCTTGTTATTATTCTGAGAGACAACATTGATTTCACATCTTACTTCAGTTGAAGAACCAAAATATTGGAAAGACATGAAAATGGCTCCTTTAGAAATAGGTGTTTCATTCATTGGTTTCAATTTTGTTGAAACCTGGGCTTTTGAAATCTTACCCTCCATTTTCTTTAGGTATTTATAATAAGTTGGAGGAAAGAGAAAAATGCTCCTTAAAACTTTCTCGTGGCAATTTATAATGTATTTGTAATTACTCTTCAGTAATTAAACAAAAAACAAAAATGTTTAGGTATTTTTTGTTGTCTTTATGTCATTTGGAGGAAATTACAGTAGGTTTAATTATTTTTATAAGTTCAGTTTGTATCAGTTTCCTGACAATAATTATGAATCATATTAAGTATGAAACAATATTAGTGTTTCATGCTTCTCTAATGCATTCATTTAAAAACCATTGTCTGAAGTACTTTCATGATTTCTAGATTCCTTATTTATCAAAGAAGGGGGGGGAAATGAGAAACTAGGAATAAACTTTACAGTCCAGCTCATTAGGATAGGAAATTCTAACCTATGTTTCACAGGCTGAAGATTTATAGACAGGATAGCTTATTCCCATGTTTCTTAGCCAGCACTGAGAAAGACATATCTAGAGGTTAGTAGGTTAGTGAAGCCTGACTTAATTTGGTCTATGGAGCACAATCTACTTTGAAATGTGAGCAAAGTCTGGTAGGGAGTAGAATGGGTAGCACTCACTCACTTATTCATTCATTATTTGTGTGGCACTTATTCTCAAAGGTTCTGAGTGCTTAAAGATCATTATGAGGTAAGGGAACCAACTAGAAATCTTGAAGTTGCAATGGTATTTTTAAAGATCATAATGACTAATGTTTTGTCCCTTTTTTCTAGAAATTTCCTAATTTTATTTTATCCCATTGAACTTCTTTTCATAGTGAGTTATTTGAAGTGAATCATATCCGGACCATCTACCACATGTTTATTGCTCTCCTCGTTTTGTTCATCCTCAGCACACTTGTGGTGGACTACATTGATGAGGGGAGGTAAGAACATCTTGAAAATGTTAGCTGGAGGCAGGGTTGGTGCTGCATTTTGGCATTTGACACCTGGATCACTGGAACCTCTCTTGGAGGAGGGATGATTACCCACCCAATTCTTTTTTGTAGAGGAGGAAAGCTGCAGAGAACCCCATGATTATGTTTATAGAGATTGCTACAACAAAGGCACTTTGCCAAGGATGTGACCTTGCCAAGGTTTTGCAATCTGCAGTCCTTGAGTTCCTTGGGTACATTTGGATGATACTATGTTTGTTGTTTGATATTTTATAGTAGCCTTTCTCAGTGTGGCATCTGCTAGATATGTTGCCTAGGACTAATAGAAATTGTAGGCCAACATATCTGGTCCACACTGAAATAATAAAGACTGCTTGACATTATTATTATTATTATTATTATTATTATTATTATTATTATTATTTACACAAAAATGACAGTATACACAGCAAACGAGATAACCATGCTGGATTATTATTATTATAATTATTATCATTATTATTATTAAAAATAAATAATAATACATTATTTATGTATCTTAACGTTTTTGCCTACTTATGGGTCTTGTATTTTTTTAAAATAATCCAATGTAAAATTAATTTGTCAGTCTTGATTTAGTAGCTCTTAATTCCTCTTCTCTCTCCCCCCCCATTACACCCCAAATATTATATTTTTACCTGGTGAATGAAGTTCCATTAACCTTTTTGTTTTCTTTGATTTTTTTGAAGGCTTGTGCTAGAATTTGATTTCCTCGTTTACTCTTTTGGCAAAATTTCTATCGTCATTCCAACTTGGCTTTGCATGTTCTTCTCCACGTTACTTGTGCCATATGCCCTCTTTGCCCAGTGGGCCCAGGGGTTCCATACCTCCTCCCACAAGTTCATCCGTTCCACTTTATTTGGGGCACTATTTGTGATTTTCCAAACAGTTTGTCTTGGATTTGGACCAACGTACATTGTATTGCTTTATGATCTAGCGCCAGCCTCTCGTTTTATAATTATACTTGAACAGGTGAGTTTCATTATTTGCAAAGTGGATGTAAGGAACTGGAATTGTAGGTTTTTAAATCTTAATAAGGCATAAATCTTTTTTCCCCCCAGAAATATTTAGGTTATTTAAGGAAAACAAGTATAAATTCTCCTTTTGTATGTGGGCAGAATGCTGTTTTTCATCCATTTCAAAATAAAAATAGAAAGATATCAATCAAAATAGCTTATTTTTAACCAGGGGTTATTAGGAAAAATCTAGCATTTAGCAGAAAATCTCAGTGTTCATCTCCAAAAATATCATATGACAAATATGTGAAGTCTAAAAGGAATAGCTACAAAATTTTATCTCTGGAAGATGTCAATATGTCAACCATAAAAGTAAGATGATACCTTACTCAGATGGTTAAAACCAATGAGTTAATGGAGAAAATAAAAAAAAGGTAAGTATTACTAAAATATTGATTTCTATAGTTGGAGGGATAAAAGTAACATTTTTATGGAAACGACAGTCCACTAGATTATATTTATCACTTTAAAAAACTAAAAAAAGCAAAAAAGACAAAACATAATAATAGTTATATAATGCAAATACATAGAAAAACTATGCATAAAAAGCCAACAATTTGAGTTAATTTTCCAATTTGGAAATTGGACCAATATAGAACACCTTTGTTTGGATGGGCAGTGTATAAGACGCACTTCCCTCTCCCCAAAAGTGGGTGGAAATGTCTGTGCGTGTTATACAGCAAATGTTGCCAAAGCTCCGCCCACCCACCGGTCCCCACCCTTTGGCCTCCCAGCAATTTGCCTCCTTGCAGCAAACAGCAAACAACCTGGTCAGCTTCAGCACAGCCTGATTTAGCACGAGCAGCTGATTGGCAGTTGGATCTGCCTCCTGGAATACCACCTATCAGCTGTTCCAGGCTGCGGAGATTGCCGCTGCTGGCTCTCCGCCTCCGCACGCCCCATTTTTGGCCTGTTCTAGGCGGCGGAGGCAATCCCAGCTGCCTGGAACGGACCAAAAATGGGGCATGCGGAGACTGAAAATGGGACGCGTGGAGGCCAAAAACGGGGCGCATGGAGGCCAAAAACGGGGCACATGAAGGCAGCAATGGGTGGCAATGGCGGTGATGGTCGGTGGAGATCCCCACAGCCTGGAACAGCTGATAGACGGTATTCCGGGAGACAGATCCAACCACCCATCAGCTGCTCGTACTAAATCAGGCTGTGCTGAAGCTGACCAGGCTGTTTGAAAGGCTGTTTGAAGCATAAGCCTTTCAACTATTTGTCTGAAACAGGATTAATATCCTCTAAAACAGAGGTCACCAACCTTTTGGACCTCAGGGACCACTAAATTCATAATTTTAAATCCTGTGGACCACTAATATGATCTGCCTAATGACCGGCTGGGTGGGCATGGCTAGGTGGTCATGTGACTGGGTGGGTGTGGCTAACTTGATGTCACTCACATTGATGGGTGTCTCGACAGCCTCTACTCACCCCTCCCCTCCCAGCCACTCCTCACCTGCCTGCCCAGGCTCCTTAAGGCCCCATCAGGAAGCAGTTGTTGGAGCTAAGCAGCCAGCATGAGAAAGAGTTGGCAAAACAGCTGGCTCATTTCAAATTGGATCTGACCAAGAAGGAGGCTCAGCAGAAGCACCTCACTGAGGACTACCAGCATAGGCTTTCCAAGCAGAGGGAAGACCTTGGTAAGATAAAGAGCCTTGGTAGTACAGGGGTTTAAGGCACCCTGTTATTAAGCTGGTTATTAAGACCAGCTGCCTGCAATTACTGCAGGGTTCGAATCTCGCCAAGGCTCAAGGTTGACTCAGCCTTCCATCCTTTCTAAGGTAGGTGAAATGAGGACCCAGTTTGTGGGGGCAATAAGCTGACTTTGTATAAATATACAAAAGGATGAAGGCTATTGCTGAGCACATTGTAAGCCGCCCTGAGTCTTCAGAGAAGGGCGGCATATAAATCAAATTAAAAAAAAAAAAAAAGACCTGCGGGAGTGCAAGGCCAGGTACAGGCGCCTGGAGGCTCAGTGGGCTGAGATGGTCAGCCCTCCGGCTCTTTGCCACCAGTGGCACTTCCCTCCAGCCTTCTCCCAAAGCCCCGCATCAGGAGGCTGAAGCAGACCCCAAGTCAGAATTTCTCTCCTCCTCTGACCCCTACAAAAACCCCCAAAGGGGGAGACTCTCTGCAGTAACACACACATTCATTGCACGTATCCAGCCCAGGGGGCGTACTTTGAGGACCCCTGATTTAGTGCAATATAAAAAATGCAAACAATTTTTCTGTGGACCACCAAAATTTTCTCACGGACCACCAGTTGGTGACCACTGCTTTAAAAGGTCTACCATTTGTGTTACATTTGTTCCTTTGTATAAGGGGAAAGAAAGGAACCAGCTGCAGGCATTTGATGTTTTTCCATGAGAGTCAGACATTTTACTAAATCAAATGATAAATCGATTGAAATTAAATCTTGACTTTCCAATTTGATAAAAATTTTATCACCTTTTAATCTCCATGGTACTGTATGTCCTTAATTTAATCAGCTGCTCATGCTAAATGAGGCTGTGCTAAAGTTGACCAGGCTGTTTGCTGTTGGCTGCAAGGAGGCAAATTGCTGGGAGGCAGAGGCAGATGTTTTTCCCCTTGTTTTCCTCCCCAAAAGCTAGGTGTGCCTTATAGTCTAGAGCGTCTTATCGTCCGAAAAATACCACATTAGAATTTAATGGGTTAAATATTTAATGAGTGTTCGGAGGCTTATCTCTAGGATCACCCAGAGGAATTCTCTGTGCATCTGGTGGATAAATTTGCCTGAATTTGTTCCCAGTTGAAGGCCAAGAGTGGTGTAGGTCTGTGGAGATGTCTAGGGAATTGACTTACCTGGTTATCTGGAAACAGTTTGATCCTGTTGCACCCAAGGATATAGATAAGAGTTCTTGGGACAGTAAACACGATAATCTCTGAACAAGATCCATGCTTTCCTGGCTGATCAAGGCCACCTGTGAGCTGGATTAATTCATCCTTGATGGGCAGGGTTTCTCAGCACCTTTTAAAAAGGTCTTTGTGAGTCCTCTACTCAAGAGGCTGTCAGTAAATTCCCAATGCTGGTTAATTTTTGTCCAGTCTTCTTCCTCCCCTTTTTAGGGAACATAGTTGAAAAGGTGGCACTGCAGCTCCAGAGGATCCTGGATGAAATGGATTATCTGAACTCCTAGTGGGATTTCAGGCCTGGATATGAAACAGAAATAGCATTTATTGTTCTTTTGAGGGATCTCTTGTGGGAGCGGGATGCAAGTAATGCATCCATCCTCACTTTTCTTGACCTCTTGGCAGCTTTTGATTCTTTGATCATGGCATCCTTTTAGATTGGCTCCAGGATTTGCAGGGTAGAAGGCCCAGTTTTGTGCTGGTTCACCGCCTTCCTCCATCCCAGTCAGTGTTGGTTGGGAGCAAGAAGTCCAGCCAGTGGCCCCTGATCTGTGGGTGCCACAAAGCTCAGTGCTTTGTCTGCTCCTCTGCTCTCCTTTGTTCATTCATGCCTGGTCATGTCCTGCATGGACTATTGCAATGTGTTCTACCAGGGACTACCCTTGAAGAGTATCCAGAAGCTGCAGCTGGTGCAGAATCCAGCCATGTGAGCAATCTTGGGCAATCTGAGGACTATGCTTGTAATGCATCTGCTTCATGAGTTACATTGGGTGCTAGTTTGCTGCCAGATCCAATTCAAGGTGTTCATCATTACCTTTAAAACCCTTCAGGGCATGGTCTTGTCCCAATTATGCTGACTCTTTCCACCCGGTTAAGCAAGGAAGGTGTGTTATAGATCCCTGTTGGTTAAATAATTTTGACTGGTGGGATCTAAGAAGAGAGCCTTCTCTGCCTCTGCCTCTGCCTCTGCTCTTTGGAATATCTTGCCCTCAGACGTGAGGTTGCCCCCCCCCTCCCGAGGTGAAGACATAACTCTGCTAATTGGTATGGCGATTGAAGAGTGGCAAGCACCCTGGGGGTGGTTGGTAGCCATCTTTTAACTCAGTTTTTTAAACTTTGCTTTTATTCTGTTCTCCACTCTTTGTGGAAAGACAACAGTGTGCTGAATTTACACTCTTGGATGGATAGCATTTGCTTGTGAGCTGGCCTTTTCTTGATATAAAGGAAGAACTTAAGATTTTTCCTTGTGATCATGGCTTAATACTATGTTTAAAAAATGAAAATTTTGATATATAGTATGTATTTTTTTTCTCTTATCTCATTTTTTCTTGCATTTTCCTTCCATTTTATTATTTTTTTAAACAGATCTTACTTGTCATTTTATTTATAGGTACGTTTTGTGATGAAAGCTCACTCTTTTGTCAGGGAGAATGTTCCCCGAATAATCTCTGCTACTCCTCAAAAGTCAAGTGAGTAATTTTCCCTTGCACTAATTCTATACAGGTAGTCCTGAATTTGCAACTATTCATTTAGTGACTACAAAGTTACAATGGCATTGAAAAAAAGTGACTTAAGACCAGTCCTTGCATTTACAACCGACACAGCATACCCAAAATGATTAAAATTTGGGTGCTTGACAACCAGCATATTGTTATGTCAGTTACAATATCCTGGGGTCATGTCATCACTGTGTGCAAACTTTCCAGTCAGTTTCTGGCAAGCAATGGATTTGTTTAATGACTGCATGATACACTTAACAACTGCAATAATTGACTTAACATAGCAAAAAATCATAAAACCAGGTACTACTCTCTTAACCACCATCTTACTTAGCAATGGAAGTTCTGATCCCAATTGTGGTCATAAATCAAGGACTACTGGTAGTAGGTGTCAGGGATAACAGCTTGCAGCTGTTCGATCAACTTATAGCCTTTATTTTAAATATCTTTTCCTCCTTGACTATCCTAGTTATCCTGATTATTTGATTTCATCTCTTCCGCCTGGATGCTCCACTTTGCTTTTTTCGACCTTATCTTCGGATTTTTGCTGGTATAAGAAAGGGAGGAAGCATAGACATCGAGAGTCTTGAACAATTTATTTGTAATATTTATACAAGTGGATGGGACGGACCATCTTCTCCTTTGTCTCTGTAACTCTGGACTGGTCGCCGTGAGAGGGCGGTCATTGAGACTCTCATCCCCCTTTTTTGACTAACTTATTTTAATCACAAGACTTTCCCATCACTGTAAGAGGGAGATGGTATTCCAATGTTCTATTATATTAGCTTCCTTGTACAATTATCTACTTTACCCTTTTTGTCTTAACCATCTGTTTTAAACCATCTTTAACACCTTAAGAAGAAAATGACCTTTCATCGCCTCCAAATCTATCTCACCTTTGATGTATTCAATAACAGAACTCCTAGCACTGCAAGAGTCCCCCCTCTCGCAAGTTTGGCCCTCCCAGTTATCTAGGGCTGCCCTCGAGGACGGGTTTTGGAACCCCGAGAGGTGGTATGCTAAGAACCGGAAGCTTTGGGGTTTTTTAGATAGTTTTTCAAATTCTATTTTAAGGGGATCTGGGAGGAGGGTGGTTTCCAATGTAAATAATGAGGCTGGGGGGCCTCCCGGGAGGGGGGTGGGTTGTATGGGTTCAGGGATTAACTCACAAGGGACGGGATCTAGTCCATCTGAAGAGCACGGCGGAGGAGATGCAGAATCCGGGGCCAAGGAGAGGGTTAGAGCTTGTGGTGTTGATAGACATTACATCAGTACTGTAGGTGGGAGGGGCAGATATGGCGGGAGTAGGGGGCCACATCAAGTTGCAGGAGTGCGCGCTCGCTGTCTTCAAGCGGTGGCACGCTCCGGCCCCCAATGCTCTTCTCGTTCCCCAGGTGGCTCAGGCCCTGGGCCTTCGGCTGATGCTATGCAATGCCAGGTCCGTGGTAAATAAAGCCCCCCTCATTTGTGATCTTGTTCAGGAGGGGGGAGCGGACCTGGTGGGTATTACAGAGACCTGGTTGGGCCAGGAGGGGGGAGTCCCTCTCGTAGAGATGTGCCCACCTGGTTTCCGGGCATTTCATCAGCAAGGTCACAGGGAAGGGGCGGGGGGGTGGCAGTTATCATTAAAGAGGTTCTTGGTCCGAGGGAGGTCACTGTTCCTCAGACAGCCGGATGTGAGTCCCTCCTTGTGAAGTGGGGTCATGGGGTGCAGATGGGCCTGCTGGTTACGTACCTGGCTCCCTGCCACGTGGCAGCGGCCTTGCCTGAGCTACTCAACGTTATAGCCGCGGTGGCGATTGATACCCCTAGGCTTATGGTCATGGGGGACTTCAACCTGCCATCTGTCGGTGAGGCGTCTGAGGTGGCTCAGGAGTTCATGGCTTCCATGACGGCCATGGACCTGACCCAATTAGTTTATGGCCCTACACACACGGGGGGAAACACGCTGGACCTGGTTTTTGTCTCTGGTCAGTGGCTGAGTGGTCTCGAGATAGGGGATATAGCGATCGAGCCCTTGTCATGGTCAGATCACTCCCTCCTTCGCTTTGACCTTCGAACCGCCACACCCCGCCGCAGGGAGGCGGAACCGATGAGGTGGTTCTGCCCCAGGCGCCTGATGGACCTGGATAGGTTCCAGACGGAGCTTGGGCCATTTCCTGAGGCTCTGGCACACGGCTCGACTGAAGATCTAGTGGCTGCCTGGGATTGGGCGGCCGCTGGAGCTTTGGACCGGGTCGTGCCTTTGGGGCCTCTAACCCGGCATCGATCTCACCTGGCTCCCTGGTTCACCGAGGAGCTGAGGGAGATGAAATGCCGGAAAAGACGCCTGGAGAGCAGTTGGAGGGCCAGCCGTTCTGAATCTGACCGAACACTGGTAAGGTCTCATATTAAGACCTACCTGGTGGCAATAAAAGCGGCAAAGTGTAACTATTTTTCCGCTCTTATTGCGTCATCAGATAATCGCCCGGCCGCCCTGTTTAGCGTGACCCGCTCCCTGCTCCACCAGGAAGTGCGGGAGGACCCCTTGGAGGGTAGAGCCGAGGACTTTGTACAATATCTGTATGACAAAATCGCTCAGATTTGGGAAAATTTGGACTCTGACTGGGTAGATTTGGGAGGGAGGATGGAGGCAAGTCTTGAGAATATTATCTGGGAAGAGTTTGATTCTGTGACTCCGGAAAACGTGGACAAGATACTGGGCAAGCTGAGCGCGGCCACATGTTTATTGGACCCGTGTCCCTCCTGTCTGGTGCTGGCCACTCGGGAGGTTACACGAGGCTGGCTCCAGGGGATTATAAATGCTTCCTTGAGAGAGGGTGCCTTCCCCGCCGCCTTGAAAGAGGCGGTGGTGAAGCCTCTCCTCAAGAAGCCTTCGCTGGACCCAGCAGTGTTGGCTAATTACCGTCCAGTCTCCAACCTTCGCTTCGTTGCGAAGGTTGTTGAGAGTGTGGTAGCGCGACAGCTTCCTCAGTACTTGGATGAATCGTCTTATCCAGATCCTTTCCAGTCAGGCTTCAGGCCTGGATACAGCACGGAAACGGCATTGGTCGCATTGGTAGATGATCTCTGGAGGGCCCGGGACAGGGGTTGCTCCTCTGTCCTGGTCCTATTAGACCTCTCAGCAGCTTTTGATACCATCGACCATGGTATCATGCTGCACCGGTTGGAAGGGTTAGGGGTGGGGGGCACCGTGTCGTGGTGGTTCTCCTCCTTTCTCTCTGATCGGTCGCAGTCTGTGTTGACAGGGGGGCAGAGGTCGACCCCGAGGCCCCTTGTATGTGGGTTGCCACAGGGGTCGGTTCTCTCATCTCTTCTGTTCAACATTTATGTGAAGCCGCTGGGTGAGATCATCCGTGGTTTTGGGGTGAAGTATCATCAGTATGCTGATGATACTCAGCTATACATCTCCACCCTGGACCACCCCAATGATGCCCTTAAAGTGATGTCCCAGTGCCTGGAGGCTGTACGGATCTGGATGGGGAGGAACAGACTCAGGCTCAACCCATCCAAGACCGAGTGGCTGTGGTTTCCGACGTCCCGATATAGTCAGTTGGTGCCATCACTGACTATTGGGGATGAGTCATTGCCCCTCACAGAGAGGGTTCGCAACTTAGGCGTCCTCTTGGACTCACGGCTGTCTTTAAAAGAACACTTGACGGCTGTGGCCGGGAGGTCTTTTTATCAGGTTCGCCTGATTCGCCAGTTGCGTCCCTTTCTGGATTGGGACTCGTTAAATACAGTCACTCATGCCCTCGTCACTTCACGCCTGGACTACTGTAATGCTCTCTACATGGGGCTCCCCTTGAGGAGCACCCAGAGACTCCAGCTGGTCCAGAATGCGGCCGCGCGGGTAGTTATGGGAGCAGCATGGCGCTCCCATGTGGCTCCCCTCCTGCGCGAGCTGCACTGGCTCCCTGTGGTCTTCCGGGTGCGCTTCAAGGTCTTAGTTACCACCTTTAGAGCACTCCATGGCTTAGGACCGGGGTACTTACGAGACCGCCTTCTGCCACCAATAGCCTCTCACCGCACAGTACGCTCCCATAGAGAGGGGCTTCTCAGGGTGCCGTCAGCCAAACAGTGTCGACTGGCGGCCCCCAGGGGGAGAGCCTTTTCTGTGGGGGCACCCACCATCTGGAACGAGCTCCCCCCAGAGATACAGAAGATTCCGGATCTGCGCACTTTCTGCCGTGCCCTCAAAACATTCCTGTTTCAGCAGGCTGGCCTGGCCTAACTTTCCCTTTATATTGCTTTCGATTTTATTTTAAACTGGGATGTCTTGAATTATCTAGGACCAGAGTGTTTAGTATATTTTAATTGGTTTTTGTTTAATTAACATTTGTATTACATGTATTTTTTATCGTTCGCTGTTCACCGCCCTGAGTTCCTCAGGAATAGGGCGGTATATAAATTTAATTAATAAATAAATAAATAAATAAAACCTTCTTGTCCTTTTTGCTGTTCTGGGAATAGCACTCTTATTAGGTGGGACTGGTCTACAGGCCAGTGTTTCTCAACCTCAACAAATTTAAGCTGTGTGGACTTCAACTCTCAAAATTCTGGGAATTAAAGTCTACACAGCTGAATTTGAAAAACACTGATATAGGACTTGTCCAGTCAGGCAGAACTGTATGAACTCTTTAGTTCATACCTAAAGAAGCATCATTGTACTCAGAATTAATAAGAGCCAGGAACAAGGTAGAAAACATGAGTTTATTTTTGTGTGTATGTTATATGCGCTAGTACCAAACTATTCTTCTGTTTTCTTTTTCCTCCAGATTCTTTTCACCTTCCTAAAGTTTCCCAGTATCTGTATTTTCTTTTTGCTCCCACTCTTATTTACCGAGATGAATATCCCAGGTAATGAATAACTTTGCATGTGGCAATTTCATTTCTGTTATGAAGGGATTGGTATTATATGCATTTGCTTGTAGTATTGCTAATTTTTAGCCAAGCTGCAAATAGAGAGCCAGTTTGGTCTAGTGGTTACAGCACCAGCCTAGAAAGCAGGAGATTGTGAGTTCTAGTCCCACTTTAGTCATGAAAGCAAACTAGGTGACTTTCGGCCATTCACTCCCTCTCAGCTCAACCCACCTCACAGGATTCTTGTTGTGGGGAAAAGAGGAGGAGGAAGGTGAGTTGAATATGTTTCACTGCTTTGAGTTATTTGTAAAAAATTAAAGCAGGATACAAATAAATAAAAAGAACTTTTTTCTTTAGAATTTTAATTGCAGTAATAAAAACTAATACAAACTAAACCTACAGAAAGAGAATAGTATGAAGAAAAAGTACAAGAAAAAAGAAAAATGTGATAAGAAAATATGTAAAGAATTGGCTTTCAAACTGCACCACAACTCTAAACAAATTTAGAAACTTTCACCTACTACAAAGTTACAAAAATATACCTCTTCATCCCATGTTCCATTCCTTATCTATAAACAAATGTATAAAACATCAACTTTTTAATTCCAATGTCTGCAATTAGTCATTAAAGAATTGCCACAACTTTGCAAATAAAGATTGTACTTTAAATTTAACCAAATATACCAACTTCATATTCTTTTTGCTTCTAACAAACTTAATCTCTAATTCTATGAAATGTTGTAGGATTTGAATTCTCTTCACTTGTTTGTCCCATTGTATATTAAAGAGTTGCAGACAATCAAATATACTCATGACCGGAATGGCGCCTGCCCATTATGGTTGCAAGTTTTGATGGTGGTTAAGTGAAGTGACCGTGTGATCACTTCACTTAATGACCACCATCCCTACTCTCTGATGCAATCATTAAGCAGAGAATGGAGGAAGCCTTGGGACATCTAGGAGCAGGCCCTGGACTGCTTGCCCCAGACTTCCCAGGGCCTCCCCCACCCCCTGAGATACCCCATGTGGTGCTTCCCACCCCACAGGATCCCCACAGGCCTTGGACCTGCTTTTCCAATGGAGGTCTTCAGGCCTTGGACTAAGCAAATGGTTGCAGACCTTATTTTTATCATAACTTTTGAATTAAATACATTGTGCAACCGCATTAGCCTACATACTTTTTATGAGCAAAGCAAAATCACTCCACATTTCCTTTGTCCACCCATGCTTTCAGTCCCCAAAAAACAGGCTGAACTTTGATTATTTATTGGTTATATGAAGTCTTCAGAACTTTTTTCCATATTTTTCTGCCTATATATTTCTACCAGCGTTTATTCATTTAATTAATTTTAAAAAATCAAAGTATAACAATATCAATAATGACTTGTCAGATTCAGAACAAAACATGCACAATGTTTTGATGAACAATGTCATACCTATCAAATAAATTTACCTACATTATATAATTGAAATAATGTGATATATTCTTATGTTGAAATTGAATTTATATTGAGTTTGCTACAATCAACATCTAGGTAGTACACTTAATTATACTTGCTAAAAATATGACGTGGAATAATACCAAACTATTTGAGAACTGAAAAAATGATATCATGTTCTTTTCAGAACACCCACAATAAGATGGAGCTATCTGGCTACCAAGATTGCACAGGTTAGTGACTTTTCTTTACCTGATATTTCCCTGATGGAAAACAGTCCTTAGACCTAAAAGTACTTATTAGCTGTCTTGCTTGTGTATATCTATATCACTTTATTTTCCACTGCTATAAATCAGAGCCTTTGTTGTTGCCTAGTAAATCTGTGGCTTATTACAAACCCAACATAAGATGCTGGCTTATTCTAGCCTTCCATGATCTGGTGCCCTCTAAATATGTTGAAATTACAACAAGAATTGGAAATTAGCAAAAAGAAAACGATTCAGATTCTTCATTGAACAGTTTCTGAATCTATTTCCAGAACTAGTCCTTCAGCATTCACTTTCAGAGTCCTCAGAAACTATAGAAATAGTACTAGAAAATGTTTAGAACCATCTTTGTTTTCAAAGCAACTGTTTCTTTTGTGTTTGCTTCACTAATTGAGTATACTATATATTCATCAAGATCCTGAGAAAATGCACATGCACATAGTAATATTAATAAAGAGCCGGGGATCCATAGCTATTCTCCTGCAGAAAAGCTGAGGCATTTTAAAATAGAATATCTCCTCAGTCCCATCAGTTCTGGCAACTTTGCTAGTCATATGTGGGAAGGGCCCCCTTAAAATACCTAGACTTTCCTTCCTTTTCCATTTTGGGTTATTAACTCCGGTGGCAACTAAAATCATAGACAGTAACTCACTGTTGAATCCACACCATTATTTGTTTATATGAGTCCAGATCACCAGCATACATAAGGAAGGGTGATCAGAGGCATTTTGCCTATTTTACCCTGAAGCTCCACCAGAGGCAACTTATAGAAAGCTTCTCCAGAATATGAAATTATAGCCTAAGGCAACTGGAGAAGTATATTTTCCACCATTCTGCCTACATCTAGAACAATTACATTCTAAGCAGTAAAATAAACGAAGGTCACTTGAGGGAGATGGGTAGGTTTTTTAAAAAAATTGCCCTATGATTCCTTCCAAATTTCTCTGATTGTCAACTGATTTTGGTTTTTCCTCTTGTGTAGATTCTTGGTTCATTGTTCTATGCTTACTACATATTTGTAAGACTCTGTATTCCAACGTATCGGAATTATAGCCTGGGACACTTCAGTCTACGAGGACTAGTTCTTTGCATCTTCAACTCTATTCTTCCAGGTAAGCTTCTGTGAATCAGCCTGTGGTCTTTCCTTCAAAGCTTTTGAATGCAATGCAATTACAAAAGTGATATAGCTAACTATCTGAGGCATGCTAAATGTGTGTTAGCAAATGACCTCTCTAGGATTAGAGGAAATAAAGGCAAATGACCTCTCTAGGATTAGAGGAAATAAAAGAAGACAAGCATTATTTCTTTTACAGGCATTTTGTACCAGAAAAACATTAGCAATGGGCAGCCCTATACTTTTCTAAAATAACGTAAATACAAATAAGCTTCTACATTGTTTGCTCCAGGGGTGAAATGCTACCCGTTCGCTCCACTGCGGGTGAACAGGTAGTGGTAAAAACTACCGGTTTGGGCAGTAGTTTTAAAAAGTTTTTAAAAAAGGTTCCGACGATCACAGCTCTGCCGTGTGATCGTCGGAACCTTTTTTTTACTTTTTAAAAGCATTTTTTAACTACCGGTTTGGGCGAATAGATAGTAAAAATGCTTTAAAAACAAAAGTTGGCCACGCCTACCCAGTCACATGACACACACACACACACACACACACACCCACAGAACCAGTAGCAAAAATTTTTGCATTTCACCACTGGTTTGCTCCTATCATTTTTTTGGGCAAAGGAGCTCCACCTTTAATTTAAACTTTAAACATATAAACACTGCTTCTGGATATACCATACCATGGTGCATTAAATTCTGGACCATTTTATGCAGCAGTTAGTGACCAGAGATTTTACATAGAGAACCTCTATTTGAAATTGTATTTCAATTACCTATATTTCTTTCCCAGAAGCATTTTACAGTATTCCTTTTTTCATATATGACTTTCATCCTATTTCCACCATTTGCAGTCTCTCCCATTCTTTCTCCTGCTTTTATATTGACTTCTTCCTATAACAGCTTCCTTCTTAACACATTTTTCTATCCCCTAATTGTTTCTGAGTTACTGTAAACTCCGTTCTTGCCATTTTTCTACACAGGGACAAAAATCCCTGTTTCAAATATTCCCAGCCACTAGACGTCCTTCTGCTTGGTCTATAGACACACCTACATAGGTGGCAGTGCTATGTAGATGTTCTGCAGTGGAGGTAGCTGTCACCGTGGCCAAAACATATAACAACTATGAATATTTCTTCTTGACCACTAAGTAATCCTCTACTTATAGAAAGGATACCACTTGTTGAAGTAAAGGCTCTTCAAAGTAGATGTTTTAAAAATATAAAACATTTCCCTTTTTCTTATTGTTAAACTTTCTTCCAGACACCTAGTGGTCAGCTTGTTCTGCTTGTTTCCTTTTCATCCTTTCTTTCATTTTGCACATTACAGTCTTGCTGTCATACCAAATCCCACTTTTCAACATGCATTGACACTGAGATGCTCCTGAAATCTATTCACTCAAATGCTGCCCCAGAAGGTAACTTCTTACAAGTAATCGTTAAAAATGACAGGCCATACTTGTTGTTTCCACAGGTATCATTAGAATACTTAGAACACTGAATAGACTGAAGATGCAGCCTGTTTTTAACTTTAAATTAAAATTAACTTGCTTTTTTTTCTTTAATGTTTACCTAGGTGTATTGATTCTGTTCCTGACCTTCTTTGCATTCCTTCATTGCTGGCTTAATGCTTTTGCTGAGGTGCTCCGCTTTGCTGACAGAATGTTTTATCAGGTAACTGAGGCCCAAAGTGCATAGTCTTGCCAGGCTTTTCTGAAAGAATAACTACAATGCAACAAATTGGCAAGGGGCAAGAAGGGAAAAGGTGCCCATTTAAAAAGAAATTATATGTACTTATGCTATATGTACATATGCAGATATGCACATGCATGTTATGCACTGAGTTACATTTATTTATTTTATATATATATATATATATATATATAATTATTATTTTGAATTTGTATACCGCCCTTCTCCCTGAGGACTCAGGGCAGTGAACAGCCAAGTAAAAACATCAAGTACAAATATTAAAATACAATTAAAAATATATATAAATTTGGCCCCATTAATTAAAAACGATAAACAAAACAATTAAAAACACTTAAAAAATTAGGCCAGCCCGGCTTGCTGGAAAAGGAAGGTTTTAAGGGCACGGCGGAAGGCACTGAGGTCTTGGATTCTCCTTATCTCGGGGGGCAATTGATTCCAGAGGGTAGGTGCCCCCACAGAGAAGGCCCTCCCCCTGGGGGTCACCAGCCTGCACTGTTTGGCTGATGGCACCCCGAGGAGGCCCTCTCTGTGGGAGTGCACGGGTCGATGGGAGGTCGTCGGTGGCAGCAGGTGGTCTCGAAGATAGCTAGGCCCTATGCCATGGAGCGCTTTAAAGGTGATAACCAACACCTTGAAGTGCACCCGGAAGACCACCGGGAGCCAGTGCAGCTCACACAGGAGCGGTGTTACATGGGAGCACCATGCTGCTCCCGTCACTACCCGCGCTGCTGCGTTCTGGACCAGTTGGAGCCTCCGGGTGCTCTTCAAGGGGAGCCCCATGTAGAGAGCATTGCAGTAGTCAAGGCGAGAGGTGACGAGGGCATGAGTGACTGTGCACAGGGAATCCCGATCAAGAAAGGTCAGTATATAATACTGACTGACAGACAGACATAATTGCCACATGTGCATTAGACTGTCTGTTACTATGTTGGTAGTTTGGCATGGTTTTATCCAGGAAGAAAAATGTTTTGTTAGTCTTGGCAATTGCTGAAGTCTTTGAATGGCAGATGATCTTACAGAAGCTTGTTCTGAATCTGTTATGTTTTCTTTAAGCTTGTAACAGTTTCTTGTGCAGCCTAAAAACAATGATAAAAATAGTTTTTGAGCCATAGTAAATCTACTTTATAGTATTTTCCCTACAAAGATCTAATAGTCTTCTAAGGGACAAGCCCTAAAGAATATGGTGAGATCTTTTGAAATATGTTCCTTATATTATATGAGTTTTGTGGGGTCTTCCATATTTTGGGATCACACCTCATCTTATTTCTGTTCATTGACTATTCCAACAAAATCTGATGAGTCATTTAGTCCAACAGATCTGGAAACATCAAGTTGAATGCTTCCATTCTAAAGTGTTTCAATAAGTTAGAAATATAAGTTGCAAGTGTTTTCTTTTTCTCTTTGTCTTCTTTTGACTTAGTCTTAATTCCTGTTGACTGCCTGGACTAGTCCCTGCAGCATTCTTGGCAAGGAATTTTTCAAAAAGGTTTTCCCTTGTCTTCTTCCTACAACTGAGAGAATGGCTGGATAACTCAAGATAACCCACCTGGCTTTGTGCCTAAGGTGTGGGACTAGAACTCATAGGTTCCCATTTTTTGGCTTATTGCCTTAGCTACTGCACTAAACTGGTGTAAAGTTGCATCATCTCTCAATTTAGAGATTTGAAGATTATATTTGGGGTACTATTGAAATATTGGAGAAGCAGCAGATCCTTGATATAGTGGTCTTCAATTCTGAACTTCGCTCTCTGTTCTTTTTTATACCTTTTTAGGACTGGTGGAATTCTACATCTTTTTCAAACTATTACCGAACTTGGAATATCGTAGTACATGATTGGCTGTATTACTATGCCTACAGAGATTTCATTTGGGTAAGCAGCAGACTTATAACTAATTGACTAATTATGTTGATGCCATTTTTAAGTAACCACTTTAGATAGATTTTCTTCAAGATTTCCTATCCATGGGATTTTCTTGATAAAATACAGAAGTGGTTTACCATTGCCTTCTTCTGTACAGAATGAAATGACAGTTTTGCTATTGTCTCTAAAGCGATTGCCTACTCCAGCTTCTTCCTATATCACTTCTGCCCAATATAGGTGCCCATTTGCTTTAGCTGGCAGCTGGGATGATAGTCATCCCATGATGTATGTAGTCTTGGCAGACGTTCCCAGCATTCTTTACTCATCACTCCCCAGGAACACTCCCTGCCATAAGGAGGCAGTAAATCTGTACATTTTGAATTTAATCATTTTCTTTTTGTGTGTTTTTATTTGATACTCAGATGTATTTAAGTTAAGTTAACTTAATGGGAACTCTCTCTTCAGAGAAATATCACATATGTATTTATTTTGTGCTATGTTTGCACCACTATTTCTTCTAAAGGAGCCCATATTGGTATACCTCCTGATGGAAAACCATATTTTTAAAAAATCTGCATTTATAAATTTCTGTACAAAGTGCTAATAGGAAGTTTTGGATGATTTCCAGAAGCTGCGCAAATATTTTTTTTTTTTAATCATTGGACATTGTTTCTTTTGTCTGTCTGTCAACCTCAGTTCTTTGGAAAAAAATTCAAAGCAGTTGCTATGCTGTCAGTTTTCATGGTTTCTGCTGCAGTACATGAATATATCCTGGCTGTTTGCTTGGGTTACCTGTATCCAGTCCTGTTCTCCTTGTTCCTGTGTTTTGGAAGTAAGTATTAAATATATCCTTCAGCAAAATGTTGAGGGGAAAAATAATTTGAATAGTAAATGGCTAATTTGCAATGTGTCATATGGTGAGGTTCCAGCATGGCTAGCATTTGTACACTCTGACCCAGAAGTCATCTCTGATCTCAGATCACATTTCCTCTTTTCCGGAGCCAGTTTTGAAGTGATGGCGGAGTTGCTTGGTAGGAATATTTTAGGTATAGAGTACTTATTGGAGACAGATGGAATGAGTGTAAAGCCTGTCACTAATTTGCTGGGCAACATTGTGAGAGTAGAAGGGAGAAAAAACCAGAGAGTAGAGTGAAAGGTTCTCTCTTCCTCCTCTTAATAGCTGTGTGTTCTGCCTTTAATTTTTCCATATTGGAGTATAAAATTCAAATTACATTGTTAATTTTCAATTTGAGAGACTAGCCTTGTAATTTATTAAACATGTTTTATCATTGCAACAATGTTCTGATGCATTTGGGTCTAGAGGGGGGGGCGTAGAGTTTACAGTCTAAATGGTTATTTCCTTCCTTCAGTGGTTTTCAACTTCATTCTCCATGACCGGCGGAAAAACCCCATTTTTAACATCATCATGTGGACGTCCCTCTTCCTTGGCCAAGGTGTCCTTATATGCCTTTACGGGCAAGAGTTATATGCCCGTCAGTATTGTCCCAGGGAAAATGTGAGTAATCTGTTTGTAATAAGAATAGGTTCAGTTAGTATTCAGAGCCATGAATTTAGAGACAAGAACTACAAAAAAATTATATATGCATTAGCTGGCATTCAAGCTCTAGAAAAATTAAGACCATGCATTTTTGGAAGGTAGGGCAGGAAGGTAGCAAGGAACTATCCTGTTTTCCCCAAAATAAGACATTCCCTGATAATAAGCCCAATTGGGCTTTTGAGCGCATGGTATGCGCTCAAGGCCAACTGCTTATTTCAGGGTTAAAAAAAAAATAAGACAGGGTCTTATTTTCAGGGAAACACGGTACATGCATATGGAAGTTAGTAATTTCTTCATTCTATTAACTTCTTAGATTGTCCACTAGGTTTCGGTTCCACTCAGTACATTAGGATTTTCACCATCTCTGTTGTGGTATGCAGTGCCAGAATACATCTCATAAGTGCATGCACACAATGAGACTGTATGTAAGTGAAATGTCATTGTATAATTCCCAAGTCTGGTACCTGGACTGCAGAAGTTTGTAAAATCCTCTGGACACAGGTAGATTTACTGCTTTAACCTCATATAAGTTTACTGAAGTTCAATCTCAGGTGGAGCGGTTTCAAAACACAGGGTTTGGATCTGAATTTAGATCTGAGTGAGAAATACCTGGAAGTGATGGCAGTTTTGATCTCTCCTCCAAAAAGTCTGTCCAGATTTTTATTAGCAAGGAGAGTCTTGTAGATTTATGAAAATCATAGGGTTCTCTCTAAATTCTTTGCATTTCCTGGTTACCAAATGAAAATATATCTGGGTTATTATGTGAGTAAATGTGGTTTATTGGATGATGCTAGACAAGGCAAAGTATTCTATACTTTTTTGCCTAACATTACTGTTCCTCTTGTGTCTTCTAGCCAACTTTCCTGGATTATGTGAAACCACGTTCTTGGTCTTGCCCTCTTAGGATATGAAGACCTCTGGGAGTTGTCTTTAGAACCGAGATCAGAAGATGCTCTTTAGTCAAACAATAACAAATTGGGTCCAATGATATAAATGAGTTGAGCCTTTTTTTAAAAAAGGAAATTGTATGTATTTCTGGAAAATGATGGCATTTTGGCGCACAAGGCAGCTAAATCTGTACAAGGCCCAGTAGATTATTCTCATTCCTAGTTATTCCAATATGAGCCATTTACATGCTGGTCATGAAAACTGCTAAAAGGTTAGTGAAGAAATTTCTAGTTAAGTTTTGCCTATTGCAAATAGCTGTCTATGTAGTATTCCTTTTACCCATTGTTTCCTTAAAAAAGTAGTATTGTGTGATCTGGATAATAGTGACTATTTGCATAAATCTTCTGTCAGAATCACACTTGAAATGAGACATTTGAACTGTATTTGTACTACAGCTGCTACGAATAGGCCAGCTGCTGCTTTTGTCCAGAACCTGAGAAAAAAACAGGTATGGCTATTCACACTGGGGGGGTTAGAGAAAAAAATAAGGAACAGTTAAGGTACCTTTACAATTTATTTTATTTCTTAAACCATATTATGAAGGATTGCTGAAATATATTACTGAGAGCCCTCTTTGGTGATGAGTCAAAGATATCCCCCCCTTGTAAGTGAATGTATTAATACCTGGTTTAGATCACCTGCCATAAGTGGGCTTTTCCTGTAATAGCAATAATATAAATGTATGGTTTCGACGGATGCAGCCATGCAACAGATATTAGTAGAAATTGTAATTTGGCCTAGGGTAAATAAAAGTTGGGCATGATCCAACACTGCTTTAAAGGGTAAAATTATTGCCTGTGTGAATAATGTATTGTGAAAAATGTGTCTCATGTTTTGCTTTGACATCTTTCAGTATTTTTCTTTCAAATTAAAGTAAGCCCAGTGTTATTGACTGTACCGTCTAGTACTTCCTTTGATGCTTAGTTTCTTAATAATCTGACAACACAGAGTGGCCATTTACTACCAGGTTCATTTATCTTTTAGTTTTTGAACTGTTAACATAAGAAAATGTTAAGTACTAAACATGTTGTAAATTACATTGCAGGCTTATAGCAGAGTTATCAGGGATAGCCTTGTGGGTTCCATTAACATTTAGACTAGGACCAGTTTCTGTAATAATGATGTGTTCTATTGAAGATCACAGAATTTAAAACAAAATGTGTTTAAAACTTTCCTTCTCTCTTTAGTTTAAGACCAATTTAAATGTGATATTATTAACTTAACAATTGAATGAGACTTAAAAAAAAAAGAGGTTGTCGTGAAAGGTACATTTTATACTACCTTCTCTTCCTTGTTACGATCCCAGTTTGAAGAATTTGGAAGTGAAGCTCTCTTCATTTACAATCATAGGCAGTTTTCCTCTCTATCAATAAAAATTCACTCAGCCAGCAGATATACCGTATTTTTCAGAGTATAAGACACACCAGAGTATAAGATGCACCTACCTTTTTTGGTGATGAAGGGAAACAGTAATAAGAATATAATAAGTAATACTAGAATATGATATACTGGTATACTAGAATTAGTAGAAACTTGTTATTCTGTAACCATTAGGTTCCTGTAACACAAATATGCCTTTGTATTTGTATCACATATATTATGCCTTTATATTTGTATCTCTTGTAACAAACATATTCTGTTATTAGGCCTCTGTAATGTATCTGGTCTTTGTCAAACATATGTTTCTGTCATTTGATCTGAACCGATATCAATCTTCTTCCTGTTTTTCTTGTGCCATCTAAGAGCATGGTACGTATCTGAATTGCTTAACGCACTGTAAGCCGCCCTGAGTCTTCGGAGAAGGGCGGCATATAAATCAAATAAAAAAAAAAAATTGGAACTGCAGACATCATCAGAGGGATAATTTACACTTCAGCCCTAATTTACACCTTTGATCTGTATAAGCTCCTTCCTTGCAGAACCAGGGGGCCAAATGAGCAATTGGGAGAACAAAGGAATGATCAAGGAAGAGATAACACACCCACTAGGGGCCAGTGGGTGGGCGGGGCTACATTCGGTGTATAAGACACACCTAAATTTTCACCCCCTTTTGGGTGGGGGGGAAGTGTGTCTTATACTCCGAAAAATATAGTAGTTTCATGCATTAGATTCCTGTGAGGTAGTCTTTCTCAACTATGACCATAGTATCTTCAGTATTAATTTTTTTACAAACATCATTAATATGTGGTCATATGCCCATTATTTTTACATTCTTTATTGATTATCACTGCAGTGATACAGAACATAATTAGTATTGAAGAACTGAAAAAAGCACTGACTTGGAAAGCTTCAGTGTTCCAGTTAAAATAGCAGTTTGCTCAGTAACATTCCTCTGAAAGTAATAATGGGATGGATTAGGTATGGAACACCCTGAGACATATTTTTGCCAATGTGACACATAATCACTATATTGGTAGCTGACAGTTAATACCCTACAGGGCTGATATATAGCCTGTAGATAAATATTAGAGAACTCTGTTTCACTAGTGTGAACTATTCACAAGGTATTGGGGCTGTGACTCAAGTAAATAAAAAAATTGGAGATTGGGAAAATGAATACAGTCTGTATATATTTCAAGTTTTCCCTTAATTGATTAATGGTTCTCTAGCGCATTATAGATGATGGTGGTTGTTCTCTTTATTTTGTCTAATTTTGTTAAACTAAACTCATACAGTTTGTTTTCTGTAGTATAACTTTAATTACTTATTTAAAGTGATTTAATCTAACCACAGAACACTAGGGTCGACTGTTTTTCAAGATAAAAGCAGCTTCATAGTATTAAAAGGGCAACTGGAAGATTTTCATTCTGCAAAAATATTTTAAATACCTTTTGTTTTCTGAAAATTGAACAGACCCGTTTCAATACTCTGTTTAAAAAAAATTCTTAGAAGATGACAAACTGAAAGAAACCTTGGAAAATTTGATATAAGATTTACATGACTGATATAAATTAAACCATTAAATTATGTCATTTTAATAGAACAAGTTTCACACTGAAAGTTTTTACACTGAAACCAGATTTTCCTAAAAAAACATTGTATATATTTTAAGAATTGCTGGCATGGAATGCTTGTATTTATATTTGGTAATTTGTTATGGACAAATCAAATAACATTTACAGAAAGAATACTGAATTTGTTATTTTGAAATAAAACTTGTGTTGTTCTAAATTTGTTCTAAAATAAAAGTTTTGAGTCTCTCTAATCTTTTATTTCTTTAAAAGACACAAATTCAATTTTCTGTTTCCATCCTAAAGTCAAACTATAATATGATAGGATCTGCAATTAAAGAATACAGCATGAAGATAGATGGCAGATGGGAGATGAAGTGCCTGTATTTACCGAAATGATGCTGAATTGTATCAAAATTTGCTAATGAAATATTCCAGCACACAAGCATAAACATCTAGTGCAAGCTGTAATGACATCATAGGTCATGACATTATATTCAGTATATGACATGCTTCTCCTTTCCCTTTGCAAACATGCCCATGTATGCCAGCCCAGCATTACTAAAGTTATTGTGTTTAAGAAAACATTGGATTTTATGACATGGGGAGAAATAGGCTCAGACTCAACCCCTCCAAGACCGAGTGGCTGTGGTTCCCGGCGTCGCGATATAGTCAGCTGGTGCCATCGCTGACTATTGGGGGTGAGTCTTTACCCCCCACAGAGAGGGCTCGCAATCTGGGTGTCCTCCTGGATGCACGGCTGTCTTTAGAAGAACATATGACGGCCGTGGCCAGGGGAGCTTTTTATCAGGTTCGCCTGATCCGCCAGTTGCAGCCCTTTCTGGATCGCGACGCCTTGCGCACAGTCACTCATGCCCTTGTCACCTCCCGACTGGACTACTGCAATGCTCTCTACATGGGGCTCCCCTTGAAAAGCACCTGAAGGCTCCAACTGGTCCAGAATGCAGCTGCGCGGGTGGTTATGAGCGCAACTCGTGCCTACGTGACACCCCTCCTGTGCGAGCTGCACTGGCTCCCAGTGGTCTTCCGGTGCGATTCAAGGTGTTGGTTACCACCTTTAAAGCGCTCCATGGCATTGGACCTGGATACCTTCAAGACCGTCTTCTGCCACCAGTAGCCTCCCACTGGCCAGTTCGCTCCCACAGAGAGGGTCTCCTCAGGGTGCCATCGGCCAAATTATGTCGGCTGGCGACACCCAGGGGGAGGGCCTTCTCTGTGGGAGCCCCTGCCCTTTTGAATGAACTGCCCCCAGAAATTCATAAAATCTCTGATCTCCGTGTATTTCGTTGTGCCCTCAAAACCTTGTTATTCCGCCAGGCTGGGCTATCAATGTAAAGATTTTAATTGGTTTTAAATATGGGATTTTAAATTTGGGGTTTTATAATTGGGCCTATCATTTAATAATTTTAATAATTTTTAAATTTTGTCTGTCTTTGTGCTTTTAATCAGGCTGTACACCGCCCTGAGTCCTTCGGGAGAAGGGCGGTATAGAAATAAAATAAATAAATAAATAAAATAAAATCTCTGCATGAAATGTTCAGTTTAATTAAAGAGAACACATAGCTCAGGGGTGTCAAACTCAAGGCCTGCAGGCCGAATGTGGCCTGCGGGGTCGCCCTGGAAACAGCAAAGGACTGGCCCACAGTGCCTTTGCCAGCAAAAACGGAGCTTGAGAGGTGCGTGCGGCCCTCTTGGGCTCCATTTATGGCTGCGACGGCCTCTGCCAGCAAAAACTGACCCATCATGGCCCCATTTCCGGCTGCGACGGCCTCCTGCAGCCCTCTGCCAGTGAAAACGCAGCTTGGGGAGCTGTGCAAGGCTTTCCCGGGCCCTGTTTTTTGCTGCAGCGGCCTCCTGCAGCCCTCTGCCAAATGGAGCTCAGGGAGCCGAGCTACGTTTTCGCTGGCAGAGGGCTAGCAAAACAAACTAAAAGCAAAACAAAAGGAGAAATGTTTCCTTTTTTGCATTTCAGTATGCAAGAATGGACAGGAAAGCAGAAAGGGAAAGAGGAAAGACAGAAAAATAAGGAAAGATGGAAAGAGAGCAAGGAAGGAAAAATGAGGAAAGGGGAAGGAAGAAGAATGAAGAGGGACGGAAGGAAGGAAAGAAGGAAGGAGATGAGAGGGAAGGAGGGTCTGAGGGATATCCTGACTTAGCACTTGGCCACCACAGGTGCCCCTAACACAAGTGACAGAGCTGGCCACGCCCCCCCCCCCCCCCCCCCCCCCGTCAAACACAACCCTGTTGCAGCCCTCAATGAAATCAAGTTTGACACCCCTGACATAGCTAGATAGTTTTTGAATAATAAAAACATGTTACTTGGTGTTATCATGAAAAGTAGCTTGAAGTATGCCCAGAATCAAGTGCAATATTAACTACACTATTCATTTGCAAAGAAGTTGGACTAAAACAACTTCTAATAATATCTTAGTTTCTCTCCAATCATCATTGCAAAGAGCATATTGGTGGAGTTCTCACAACATGTCAGTCAGCATTTATATTATTTGGTGTGACTATAACAACCATGATTCAGCTGAACAAAAAAGAACAAAGACCTTAATCTGGTGCATGAACTAAATCATTTTCAAAAATACACTATTATTCAACTGTAGTAGTGGTTTCTATACAAGCTGAATATAAATTCAAAATGCCTGAATAATTGTGAATAGCATAAAAAGTTTTGTTCCTAAAACATGAATTTTCCATTCTTTAAGAACGTTTGGGTTTCGTGAGCCTTGTCATTGATACAAGAACAGCATTTAAAAGATTTATTATAATCTAGCAAAAGAAACCTATTTGTGTGTTTGTTTGAAAAAAAACATGTAAATAATGTCCTTAGATTTAAAAAAAAGTGCCAATTCTTATTTTCTTGCAAAAGTACACATAGTGTCCTAATGAACTTCATTTTTATAGCTTCACAATCTTTTAGATCCGTGATGGTGATAGCTTGCGGAGCTATTTCTGCGGGCACACAAGCCGTCGCCCTAGTTCAGCTCTACCACGCATATGTGCCCACCTCCCGGCGGCCAGCTGATTTTCGGGTCTCTGTTGCACATGCGGGAGACATGCATGCATGCCCATGCCACCCCTCCCCTCTCAGGAGTCTCCATGCGGCCTGTTTTGGATGCCAGGTACGTACAGGGCTCACGCTGAAAAATGGGCCTACTGGAAGTCCAAAAATGGGTCGTTTCGGCCTCCGGAGGGCCTCCTGACGGACGGGGAGGCAGTTTTCACCCTCCCCAGGCTCCAGGAAAGCTTCCAGAGCCTGGGGAGGGTGAAAAACAGCCCTATCGGGCCTACTGGAAGCCTAGAAACGGGCCGTTTCCGGCCTCTGGAGGATTCAAGATGGCCTGCTAGGCCCAAAACGGGGCATGGGGGGGGGGTCTTGGGGGGATGCATGGGCGCATGCGCGGGGAGCAGGGCAGTGCAAGGGGGTTGTGTGCGCATGTGGGGGGCAGGGCATTGTATTATGGGTGTGGGCATGTGTGTATGCGATCCCCTGCTTTTGGCACATGACACATTTATTGTTCAAGCAAGGTGGTTCAGATTTTTCCCTTGGAAGCAATGACAAGGATTATACCTTTGCTAGGGATAAGAGGAAATGGAATTCAGTTTTCATCCATTGGATGAGTCAAAGACCATGATTTTGAAGCAGCTAATTTTATTGACTGTTGGTTAATTGTAAAACATTGATTAATTGTAAAATGTATTGAACTGTGTGTGTGATCTTTGTGTCATGGAAAAAAAATTATACTGTGCTACAGAAATGTAAATATATTTTGCTATCTGTGAAACATGTTGCCTTCATTCATATCCGACATACTTCATTCAAGCTGTAAAGCATGTGACCACAAAAAGTTTGCTAGAAAAGTAGGTGGCATTAACTCTATTTGTAATATTTATTTGCAAGGTCACAAGTGGCACCTTCAATAAAAACACCTAGCTAATGGCCCTTACCTTTACAAGATGTAGGGATTTTTTTCTGCTGCAGTGCCTGGTAATATGATATGTGGGATTTGATTTTGTGACTCTCTTAATAAAAATGTTCACATCTACAATAGAATAAAAACAAACAAGGAAAAATCAAATTAGGTAAATAATTGGGATTATCCAATTAAGTATTAGGTATGTGTGTATCTATATAACTATTATAAATCCTCCTTATAAAATAGCTTTTGGTTTTCAGCAAGTTGCTTGACTTTATCCTGTATTAGATACAGATGGAACACTCAATTGAACTTTTCTGAGGCTAAGGTTGATTGGATTAGTACTTCAAGAGACAGTTGGGGGATCCCAGAGTTATAGCCTAAACTGGGAACCAGTTTCATACCATGCAGGGAATCTCACAGGAGTGTGTCAGGTAATCACCAGCATCTGAGTACTTCAAGAGATGCTTCCTTATGTTGCGATTCTCCTACTTAATTTGGAAGTTAACTGTTCAAGCCCAGCTTTATTATTCAACATATCCCAATTGATCTCAACAGAAGAGAATACCTCTAACTTGAACAGAGTTCTTGGTTGCTCTCTGGGTTTGGTTGTTTGCTGACGTTTTATTTCCCAACTATCTAACATTATCAGTGTGTCTGTTGCCCCGATGACTTACCTAGTTGGATAATGAAACACCTGCAACCAAGCTCATAGAGTACCAAGAACTCCACGCCTCGTTTGATTGCAAAGACAACTATGAAGTCAACCCTTGGAATATTAAAATGCACATATAAGTATTCTATCTGGAACCTCGAAGATACTCATTCTAACAATGCGTTAACGTTTCTGGATTTAGTTTCTTGGGAATCCCGAAATCGGCGCCATTAAGTACCCTTAAGCACTAGCTCCTTATTCATAGTGCTCGCTGCATCTCTACGGCGCTTTACAGGAATCAAACAAAGCGGCTTTCTTTAAAGAATCGGGAACCGAATCAAGCAAGCAGGAATCGAGAAAGAGAGGCTTCCAAGCGTGCGTGGGAGGGGGTGAGTTCCTGGGCGGGGCGTTTTTTGGCTTCGCGAAGGCTCCACGCAAAAGGCGTCCTAGGTTCCCATAGCAACAGCGGCCGTCTGGAAGCCGGAAGAAGTAGGTAAAGCCATGCCTCGAGCTGTTTTGTCTTCGCTCAGCCCGCTGCCAAATAGCTGAAGGGTTCTGTTGCGCGGTATTGCGGCTTTGGCCCTTTGAGATCGGGCCACGATGACTTACTTGTCATGCGCTGACGCTTCTAGTCCTCATGAAGCAATCGCTTGAAAGCTCATTGCTTACTTGGGACGGAGTGGTGGATAATGTTCAGTCTTGGAGGTGGAGGAGACCTTCCCAGGAGCGGAAAATTCGTGCTGCAGCATTTTTCTGATAATTCATAACATTCATAAAATGGCTCCTTGAATGGTTCCAGATTTGGCTTTTTAAAAACGGGCAGATGGTTAACTTGTTACAGGATTTTCCCTTCGTTAAAAGCAATGGCATTTCAAAGCTATTGATAATATGGAAGATATCCGGAGGTTTGCATGGTGATTAATAAGGACGTGATTAATATTACACTTCAGGTGTGATGTGACATAGATGATTTCAAAGCAATATTATACAGATCAGGTTTCAAATACACGAAAATCAATTCATGGAGCTATGAAGTGTTGAGATGCGCCATGTATTAACACAAAAAAAATCAGTATAAATTTTTAAAAAGCTAAATCTATTCACTCAGTTATTAAGTGAGTCCATTTGTCTTATTCCCTTACTTAGCAGGTGTGCTTACTATTTGCTCTCCTTACTATTTGTGTTGTTGGGTTTGGATGTTCAGATTGGTTCTCAGATTCTTAAAATTATTTGTGTTTTTTTTTTCCAGAATTGTGTTATTTTCAGAAATCCAAACTAAAGATTGCTTTGGGTTCAAGCCAGAAAAAAATAATTTAAAAATACATTCATGATGGAGAGTAAAATGGTGGCATTCTTATTAACTAAGCTTTTTTCCTAAATTAAATCAATTGAAAATCACCAGGCAAATAACTGGGATTATTACTGTTTCTCAAATGCCCCAAAACAGTTACTGCAGAAATCCTAGATAGAGATAGTATTCCTTTTTAAAAAAATAATTTTTATTAAACAGTTTTGTCTCTAAAAACAACATAAAAAACAACCACAGATATATAAAAACAAAACAAAACATAACAAACAGTACATACCCTCTAGGACAATGATGGTTAACCTTTTTGCCGTCGCGTGCCAAAAGCAGGGGGAGCACAGGGGGATTGCATGTGTGTGCCCGCATCCATAATTCAATGCCCCCCTGCCCCCCCGTGCATGCTTGTGCCACCCCCCTGCGCTCCCCCCGCTTTTGGCACCTAATGGCAAAAAGGTTATTGGTGGGCCTGGTAGACCTGTTTTTTGCCCTTCCCAGGCTCCAGAGGCTTTCTTGGAGCCTGGGGAGGGCAAAAACGGCCTCCCACACCCCCTGGAGGCCCTCCAGAACCTGGAAACAACCCGTTTCCCAACTTCCGGTGGACCCGGAAGGTCCGTTTTTCACCCTCCTCAGGCTCCAGACACTTCTTGGAGCCTGGGGAGGGCGAAAACGGCCTCCCCGGCCCCCCAGGGGGCCTCTAGGAGCCTGAAAACACCCTTCCAGAGCCTCTATGCGAGCCCTGTACTTACCTGGCACCCAAAATGGGCCGTGTGGTGACTCCTGGAAGGGGAGGGGAGGGGAGGGGTGGTGTGGGTGGAGCCAGCTGAAAATCAGTTGCGTGTGCATGTGCGCTGGAGCTTATCTAGGGCAACGGCTCGCATGCCCACAGATATGACTCTGTGTGCCACCTGTGGCACACGTGCCATAGGTTCGCCATCACGGCTCTAGGGTCATTTTACAGCTTTCTGTGTCAGCATACATATTTTGCTTTTGTAGTTCTCTATTCTATCATATCCATTTACATCTCAATAGTAGTATAATAACGTTACATCAATGTATATATTAACACACATAGAGATAGTATTCCAAATAACAAATCCCTTTAATTAGGGCTTATTCATTCCAATAGGTATTAGGTTTGTGCAACAGCCTAAATAACTTGGAACGGTCCTTTAGAACAGGAAAGATTTTACTAATGCTTCATAAGAGGAAGTTTTATAGATTTACAATAGGCTTACATAACTTCGAGACATTTAATTCTTCCTGTTTAGAAACATGGCAGCATTAAAGAAATGGAGTTGTTGGGGTTTTTTGCCATCTTCCAAGATTTTTTTTCAATTTCCTAAGCTAAGTAACTAGAATTTTGAGTTATTGTCTGCCACATATGGGAGACATCATGTTGGGAAGACTGCTGTAGATAACTCTTTCTTACTACAAGTGATAACATGAGTATATTTTTTAGACTTATCCCATGGGCATTAATGTAAAATACATGCTCTGTGTATAGGTACCTTACATTGAATCCTTAAGTACAGAATTTGAAGCTGAATACTATCATTTACAGACATACCATCTATTCTTATTTTATCTATATATCTTGTAGATAACTTGCTTTTGCAAACAAGTCTCTTGATGAGAAAACCACCTCAAATCAATATTTTATCATGTCTGATCAGAGGGAGCAAGTTCCAGCATTGCCTTCTACTTCAAAAGAAGAGAGCAAACAAGTCAAAGATATTAACTCCTTACTGCTTATTAGTGACAGCAGTAAAGGTAAATCTCACAAGTATTATTTAATGTCATTTTATATTTGATTCACTACATTTGCCCCTGTTTTTTTTATTATTGGAATGTATTGTTTATTTCAAGTATCATAGGTTATTGCTTATAGCTGTTGTTTTAATCTTTTTACAATGCCCAGAATCACTGTTGTAAGATAAGTGGCCATATATATTTAAATAAATAAAATGGCTGTTAGAAATTGAGGCAATTGATTATTTGCTAACTATCTTCTCTGCAAAAAGTGCTACCTGCCCAGAATAGGCCAAACGGTAAGAAAAATTTCCTCATAGTAGGAGTCCTTCAGGAGAGGAGCAGAATGCTTTGGGAGGTGAAAGACTTTCCTCTGGAGGAACAGAGACTAGATGACCCTCTGCCAGGTGAGCTAGAGTAGTAGATTCTTGTGCTCAGTAGGGAGTTGGACTATATCAGGGCTGTCAAACTCCTGCCCTGTGGGCACGGATGCGTCATGCATTGGCCATACCCATGCCTGGTTTAGCGAAGGGGGGGAAGTCCCAATATGTCACATGATGCCGCCGTGACACCGCAAGTTGGACACCTCTGGACTATATGATCTCTCAGATCCATTCCAAACCTTCCATTCTGCCATTCACTATTGTAAAGCAGTCAGGCATTTGTGTTGTCACTTAGACAGAAAACCTGTTTAAAGTAGGAATGTTGAAAAGAATAGTAGTAATTCTACTTCACCGCTGTTTCTAATCCCCAAGCCTTTAGTTCGAGTCTTAGACTAGCCCATGATTCTTCCTGCCTATCTCCCTATCTCCTATGGTTCCACCTGGCTGGTATAAACTGGCAGAGTTAGCACATTCCAGATTCCTTTCATTAAACAATTTTTACCTAATAACCCAGCCGTGATCCATGTGGCTACCATCATGATAGGGCTCCAAAAGACCTTGAAGACTTAGCTGCTCTCTCATGCCTTGGTTAGGATGGACAGAGCTTGTTAGAGAAGATTTTCTACATGTTCTGTATAGAATTGGCAGGTGCCATCTTGGTTATTTATATTGCATTGTGTTTTTCATTTTTCGCTTGTTTGTTTTTTGACATTGTGAGTCATCCAGAATTGTTTTGGAATTTGTGACATCTAAATCTAATGAAATAAAGAATAAGCAAACAAACCGTTTAGGTGAGTTTTTAAGTCTCCAGTAGATAAATATGATGAGGTAGGTGGAAAATACTTGGAAATCCAGATATTTCATATTTATAAAAAATCGGTTTTATAGGCAACCATAATCCCTTATTGCTTTGCAGTTGGGATCTGATATTATTTCTGTTTCTTAATCCCTACCTAAAATATAGGTTAATGTACAAACCAAAATTTTAAAATAGTTTGTCAGGCTCCAAAAATGCATATCTAATATAATCCTAAGGGTAGAAACTTGCCAAGTGAGGACTGAAGTTAGAACTTGGTTATTAATCTTTAATTATTGATTTAAATGAGATTATTTCCTATTTGGGTTGATTCTGCCTCACCTATCTGATTAATCCCAGACTGGATTCAAACAATATATTTTAAAAAACTACTGTATTATGTGGCATTAATTCCTTATATTTTGTTGAATTTATTCAGACCAAGATGGTTATTAGAGAAAGGCTTTAGACATTAAATTTCAAAACAAGGGAAATCATAAACCCATTTTAGTTAATCTCATAAAATAAGGCCTCATTCAGTCCTGTAAAGTCCTGTACAGTCCTGTACAGACTGGACTTGTCCAGTGACATCTAACATCTAGTGAATCTTATAATTCAATAATAATACCTTCCAAATGCTCTGCCCATTGTTTACAGTACCCCAATAACTGCTGTTCCAGTCTATCTTTCTACAATAGGAACCATGCAGGGGTGGGTTGCTACCGGTTCGCCCCGGATTGGGCGAACTGGTAGCGGTGGCGACAGGCTCCGCCCACCTGGCCAGACATCTCTGTGCATGCGTAGAAGCGTTGCGCGCAAGAGCGCACACGTCCACAAGCGAACTGGTAGCAACGGGATTTGAAACCCACTACTGGAACAATGCAACTTTAAAATAGGATGGCAATTTGCAAATATGGCAAGAGTGAAGCATTGCCATTTTGCCACTTTTGCGACTATGGTGTAGACTTGAATCTGAGCTCTTACCATGTTTGGACAGCCTTAGTATTTGTTTTTGCTGTTGGTGCTGCAGACATCTCTTTCTTTCTTAGAACGGGAGAAGTAGATTTATCTACTGAGAAAATACTAAATGCTTGAG